TCATGTACGGGAAGCGGCTCCGGGCCATGGCGCGCGACAGTGCAGACCTGCACGGCACATCCTACATGCGGATGCACACCACAGCTGCACGGCCACCTCCATGGCACATATGGACGGTGGGGAGGTGCAGCCACAGATCACTTCGATCACTTCAAGTTGGCATAGTGCGCAGCACGGGTCTTCCGACGAAAACGTGTCTACGGCTGTGGTTGTTGTATGTTCTCGGGCAGTAGTCTGCGAAATGGTCCCGGCCAGGGAGGCAAACTCGTAGTCCAAACACTGAATAGTCGGTGGCGTCATGAGGACACGTTGAGTTCGCTCAGTCGCGCAGCTGCGTCTCAGGCGCGGCATAGGAGGCGTACGTGACAGTGATGGTGGCATGTCCGTTTCCCGCCGCAGGTCCGGCTCGGTAGCGGAGCACGATCAAAGGCAATAGCTCACAACGTGGGGATTTCAACACAGCTTTCAATCTAAAATAAGCGGGTGGTTGTGCTCCTGTCGAAATGCGCTGTCGACTGCAGTGACTGTAGTGCTCATGTCAGAACCTACGCAGGCCCACTAAAGTAAACCCCCAGTATGCCTTCATTAAGAAAAACAACTTGAACCAAAATGGCTACTAGAGCCAAATTGGCGATGTTCAGCGCCTAGTGCTAGACATCCGAACAAATGATCTGGGCAGATCCCGCAAGAGAAGCCGGAATCGGCGTCCCTCATCCTCCTCGGAGTCGAGCTCTTCGTATTGCCCACTACAAGGTAAAGCAACAAAGACACGGAGAGAGAAAGCGAGAGAGAGGCCGAAGAAACTTGGCGCGAGGCTGCAGAGAGATTATCGCAGCAGATGGGGAGCTGCTAGGAGGAAGATTCCTTCTCGTCAGTTTGGGCATTTCTTCCAAAGCAGCTTTCTCAAGTGCTGCCCCATTCAGCGAAAGCTGCGAAGCAGGAAGGCAGTGAGCGGGCCAGGGTGCACGTAGGCCGCGAAGCGGTCGGGTCTGATGGGCAAGTCACCCCTCAACAATGGCTCGTGCACGCTACTGCACCGAGCGTGCCAGCCGACGTTCGCAGACGGCTCGACTTCGTTGTCTACGGCGCCATGCCGCGGGGAGGCGCCTGCTGCGATGCGACCCTCGTCTCAACGCTCGCGCGGAAGTGTCATCCACAGCCGGGGGCCGCCGATACAGACGGGCTTAGGGTAGCCGAGCGCAAACGGTGCACATACCCGGAGCTCTGCAACGACCGACCGTAAGAGCTCGTTTTCTAGGCTCGGAGGTCGGCGGGCGCTGGCGCCAGCTCTCCGCCGCGGGCTGGTAACGGCCTTAACACGGCACTGGGACAGGCTTGGCAAGCTGCTCCACCCGTGTCAGAAGGATGAGCCGCCCCTCGAGCGAGTGCTCGAGCTCGCCGGACCAGCAGCGAGCCCCGGTCGCTTGCCGCTGCGCTCCTAGCAGCTGGCGACGACCCCATGTATACAGCCTTAGCTGCGGTAATAAGCCCGCCCGTGGCAGCATGAATGGACAGCCACCTTGCAGGCGGACAAAAAACTGCTTTCAGTGCCAAACTGGCCCAGCGTGCGGGCGATTTCTTCATGAAGGCGTGTGGGGAGGAGCGGCAACCGAACCGATGTAAACGCTGCCCACTCGGGAGTCTCACAGCCGAGGGCTTGCAAATGCATCTGCGCAAGGCCGGCGGCAGCGCAACACGGAGGACTCGGTCGCCCTGGAGGGCGCCAAGCACTCGGGTAGCCGCAGCGCGGCACGGGTGGGCAAGGTATCGCACCACGAGGCCTAAAGCGCGGCAAGGCGGTGGCAGAGCGGACCGAAGCCGAGACCCAGAACCGCTGAGCGAGCTGGGCAGTGCTAAGGCTCTGTTGTGGCAGGGAAGCGGCCCTGTGCTCGACAAATTAGCCAAGCACAGGGCAACTGCTGCATCATGCGATTCAGCATATTCAGCGTAAGCTGGGTTGAAGTGGGGGTGCAAAATGCGCAGCGGGTAGTTGGCCCCGCAACGGCTTGCGGTAGGGGCGTGCGCGGTTCTGGGAGACGGCGTGGTCCGTCAATGCACGCCATGTGGCGAGCTCTGGAAAGGTCACCCGCTTCCCGCTTGCTCTCAGCGAGAGAATCTGCATCCAGGCTCGGTGCGCCCGATGTGCGGCCTCATGAATCCAGCAGCCGCGCCCAATCACCCCGTTGGAAGGCTGCTGCGCGCGCCGGCAGTTCCTAGCATGCGGGGAGCAAAGGACGAACAGCTTCTAGGCGCGCGAGGTTGGAGCTGTCCCGAGTGGGTGCACCATGGTCTGCTGGTGGAGTCGCCAGTGCAGCAACCAAAGCCATCCGAACGGCGGATCGCATGAAAGGCGGAACGTTTTGCAATGTGGGCACGGGACATGCTCTCTAGAGCAAGTGGACGCTTGTCTGAAGCCTGCAACGGCTCAAATGCATTAAGCGCGACCCAGGCTGTCTCGGCAATACCTGCCGAAACGCGACTGCATGCTGGCGCTGGTGTCCATATAGCCATATTGCGCTCGCCGTGCGCTGAGCTGTGGTGCCATCGCGCCCGTGAGCGCCTGTCCACTGGGGATGCAAAGGGGGTGGTTGCGCTCAGCGAATCCGACAGGTTCCGGCAGCATCCAGGTCCGCTTGGCGGTTGCTTGATGCGGCCGGGCGGGCGGTGGGGAGCAGCTGCATTTGCGCAAGCGCATGCAAGGCTCGCTCTCGACGTAGCCCCACGTCGGTGCCAAACGGTGGGCCCGGGTGGGCGGCTTCTCCAACTCGCTTGCCATGGTAGGGATGCGGCGTCAACCTTGTGGATGCTGGAGGCGCCCGGTCGTTCGTCGGCACGCGGCCCAGGCGGGGGGGGCGGCGGGGGGGGTGTTGCGGGCCGCACCATCGGCGACCCTGGAGTTGTGGGCGACAAGGTGAGCCAGCAAAGAAGCCGACGTGCGCCCCGATGCTTGGGAGAGCTCGTCCAACACGAAGCGCCGGCAACTCTTCGGGCGAAAGGTTAGTCGCCAACCCGTTCCGTTTGGCAGCGCCCAGGCTCACGGCACCGGTCTGCATGTAGTGGGCGGCCGATGAAACAAGTGGGAAACCACCCAGGTTGCGATGATTCGTTGGCTTTTGTCATCTCAAGCCGGCGGCTAGTTTGGACATCCCCAATTGCAGAGTTGAATACAAATGATGAAGGTCGTGTTGATTCCACGCATTGTACGTTCAAAATGAACGAGAGCCAAACGCACATTGGCGGTGCGGGGAGGCAAACTTGCCATCAATGCAAGTGTATCGACACGAAGAAGTTGTCAAGCTGAGAGGCACGGCGAGGGCAGACGCAGCAGCCTCAACCGCTCAGCGCCGGCGGAGAGGGACAGGCCCTTCGGTGGACCTTCCACATCGAGGCTGCATCCCGTTGGAAATCTCGGGATCTCAAACATTTTCACGCAGATCCTGTGGCGGTCTGCAAAAATTATCTGACGAGGGCAAAGCATCGAAAATGTCTGGACTCGCTCCAGCGACATCGATTCAGATGAACAGCAGTGGCACGATTGGTGCTTCCGATTGTGATGCGCTGTGCACCATTGCCAGGTCAGACATCAGAATTTCTCGAGACCTTCATACTGTCAAAAGCTTCAAACGCCTTTGGCTTGGCTGCATTCGATCACCACAGTCCCCGTCCCTTCGGTTTTGCTGTTTCCGTGCCAGATACTGATTTGGTTGCATGTGAGTCAAGCCGACGTGTTTGAAGTTGTTCTAGAAGCCAACAAGCCCTACTACGTTCTTGCGAAGCTTCGCTCGGTGTGCAAGGGAGTCAAGACCGTCCGGCAGCCGGGGTGTTCACCAAATGCTGCTGCTGCGGTCTGCACGGCCCGACCTCATCAGCTGCACCGATGAAACGAAGCGGTGCAGTCACAGCTCTCTGCGGTTTCGTGGCTCAAGGGTGAGACGACCAAGAGCTCGCAATCTGAGAAAATGGGAAGGCCATGCAGACCTGTCTTGTCAGCAAAGCTCCTAGCTTGATGAGCGACAAAATCATTCATCACCGCTGCTCAGCACAGGCAATCGAAGCACAAGCTGCTGAGGATCCTCTCAAGCTCTGCATCCGTTCCGCAGAAAGCACTGCTGTTTCGCCAAGTTTCGCAACGATTGAAGCAGCCCGGAATCACTCAATGCTGGATCGATGCCAGCGGATCCCTTGTCAGCATTGTGCCTGCATCACAAGCATAGGTGCAATCCTGCCTCCACAGAATGAAAGCTAGAGATCTCACAGGCGAGATACAAGCTCTGCCCATGTCTGACGAGCAGAACTTGCCGATTTGGTCCTGGCATATATATGCATCCTTATGACTGCGGCCGCTTGCACTTGATTCTGAGAAACTTCCTGTCATACCCTGGCCATCGTTTGCTGCTGCAAGAAGATGCGCAAGATCCGACTTTCAGGGTTCTGGGCCAAACTGCATTCTCATAAGCTAGTTAGTTCCGCGGAGCTACTGTGCACATTGTGCCAACACGACTGTGAGCACGACTTGATTCTGTGGCTCGCTCCTATGCTGATATCTCAGCCTTGGCCTGCCTGCATGAGGTGTGGGTTCATTTGGTTTAACTTGGCATCGTTGGCCGCCAAGGGTTCGGCTAGGAGTCGGACAGCAAGCTTCATAGACTATTGAAATGTTTTGCGTGAGGTCGAAGTTGAAAGTTGAGACCATTTGCTAGCACATGCGCCTGGGAGACATCCGTGAAAAACAGCTGCTTTCTGCTGGCACTGCAGGGTGTTCGAAGAAACTCGATGTTGACCGTCATAGACTTGCTGGACTCCTTTTGCCCTCGCCGGCACACGTTGAAACAAGGGAGCCGCAAAAGTGAAACTCGAGCTGCAGCACGCCGCACGTGTTGTGCGACAGCTGCGCTTCGAATGCAAACACGAACACATTGCCTCACAACCGAACCGGGCCACGTGCCAATTGGCAGCCTAAAGCCGAAGTTGACACACGACTGAGGACCAGCCAGGGTGAGTCACAGGATGTTGCAGCAGCTTTTCTTGACCTTGCCATGAAAGGGGTGAGAGCTTTTTTGCCGCTGTTCAGCAATCACTGCTAGCTTCTGAATGCACATTCGAGTTTGACTGATGACTTCGTGATTTCTCGTGAATTAACTAATTGCCCCGCGTTGGAAAAGCTGCAGACAACACGGTCACGATGACATGGAATCATCTGGCTGATATCTTGATTCCAGCGTTAGCACCAGGTCCCAAGTTCTGCGGAACCGCCTTTGACATTTCTTTTCCCTGGAAAGCACGTACAGAGAAGAACGACTCCCAAGTTGCGTGCCGGACACCAAGTGGCGAGTGCAGGTCGTAGGTGCAAGACCCCAAAGCTCATTCCCCGATATTGCATTACGTATACCTCGCCTTGATCGTCTCGTCTGAGCTGCGGTGCGGACAGTACACCTTCTTGCATCCCTGACCTTAGCTATGCCGCTTGCGATGAATATCAAGCAACTCGAGAGCCGAACGGACGAAAGCTAGCGGGAGCGAAGCGGCAGCTCTTTATTGCGAATGCATGCAAATGCTGGCAAGCGAATGTGACTGATGCAATGCTCCTTACATGCTGTCTTGCGTTTGGCTCATAGAGCCCAAGCTAGCGGCTCTGCAAGGGGCGCTCAAGCCCTACGGGGGACCCCGCCCCTTCTCCAGCCATTCCTCATTGATTAGGGAATAAGATGGGGGGCTCCCTGCTGACGCTTCGATCCCTGGTGTATCAGGAGCAAAGGCCCCCTGAAGTCTCAACAACTCCCGCAAGCTCCGAAGGAGCTAGGGTGCCGCGATGCAAATCTGAGATGCAGGCAGCAGCACCAGAAAGTGCAACCTCGGATCATTGTGACGCATGACCGTGCTTGCAACCTGCTCGCTTCCCTGCTCTCGGTGCTCAGTATTCGGTCCGACACACTGACACACTCACACCCTCGTAAGCCTGGCGTGCAGCAGATTTTCGGCCGTCCACTAGCCGTCCCATCATGCGCGAGCTCGTAACTCGCAAGTCGTGCAGCAGGCAGGTGCAGGCAAGCAATATTCACTACCACCGTCGCAGTCCCCGGAGTGCTTGTCTTCATCTTCGTAACCACCACGGCCGCTATCATCACATCGTCATCAGCATCGCCAGCCTCACCACCATCATAAGTATCGTCATCAGTATGGTCATCGTCATCGAGTGTCGCGGTGTCGCTCGGCATGGGTTGTTGCTCTTTCGTGAAGCAACAGTACTTCAATCAAGTCAGAGGAAAACTCATCCTGGAGCGGTCAGTCCGAAAGACAACACGAAACGGCCTTGTGGTGAAGTGGGAAAGCTGTACTGTTGCCGCGTGGTTGGTGATCCAATGAAGGCTATCAAGACAGAAACTGAGATGCTATGCACGGGCCAGCGCAGAAATGATAGTGGCATGAAGCTGGATGCTACACACACACACACACACATCAAGACCTCCTGCACCAGCTTGGCCCATCCAAATCAAAGAGATCCAGCTTCACATCTCATGGATCGCTCTGTCATTCTAAGCTTGCACTTCGCCATTGTCGTGTCCCGATTTGATTTGCCAGTTGCATTGACGAACCGACGTAATGGGTGTGTTCTGGATACCTAGCCCTCGCACCATGTTTTGTGTAGCGTTGGCCTGGGGGAAGACGTCTCGTTTCTGTATACCACTGCTACTAGGCTACTTCTTTGCCATTGCGAGGGTTCAGACGGAAATCTCATGATGTGCCTTCACAATCCTTCACAGATATAACTGCCACTGATGTCGAGGCAAAACTGAAACTTGGCTCCCGACATCCTTGACAGCAGCCAAGTGTTGGAGCACAGGCAGAGTCATCCTGAAGCGAAGCTGCTTGTACAATTAGGATGATTAGGAGTCTGTGACAAGGAGAACTTACAGTGGAACTGACGTGATGGTCGCGACTTGCACGGTCTGTGAGCTGGTGTCCTTCACATGGAGACTGAGGGAATTGATGTCCACCGTGCGGTCTACCACCCCGATCCTGATTTTCGCGGGAGGGTGAATCTGCAAATGCAGACGGCTCTGGAAAGGACTGCTGAAAATACAAACATGAGCCTGCTCCAGTTCTGGATGAAATCAGCCCAGCTCCTGCAAGCATAGAGATGCCTTCGCGCCTGATGAGATCTGCAGACAGAGCTGCGGGCATCCAAAAGGCGCCATCATCAACATCCTCAAACTCCAGCTGCTTCTTGACCTGAGATCCATTTACGGTGTTCTCCATTACTGTCCATTACAGAAGCCATGCATGGAAGTGGCTGAAGGATGATCTTGCCACAACTTGCTCTTGTCACTCCAGTCACCCTTCCACTCTCCTTCACAACGGAACAGGACGCCGCTCTCAGCTCAAACCTTACAACTCAAGGAAGGTTCCTGCGCCCCACGGATTTCGAATCTGAATCATCTTGTAGTCCTCTCCAGATGATATTGGAAGGGATGGAAGGGCCCGTCTCACTTCACACAGGGTGTCCTTCCCCCCAATGCCCATGAATCCATCGTTCACTTTTCTCACCTTTCGGATGATGAAGTTCATGCAGGGAGGAACTGAGAGACGTCCCTGGCCTGGCCTGGAGGATGGAGTAGGCATGGCCGGTCACCAAGCCATCGGCCCCGCTCGATCCCGAAGCTGAGAGGATGCTGCCTGGCGGCCATGGTGCACAGCGCTGGGCCGCTGGGCCAAGGCCAGGGCGACTTCTTGCAACGTGACGGGAGTGCCCAGTGTGTGGTACTTGCGTAGGATCTCAAACCTCTGACAGCATTGCACTCCTGGTCCCACACTTGACACATGAGCCTACGGCAGCTGGGAGGCATGGTATCGTTATCGATTTTCTCGTCCCGGGCATACAAGCCACACTTGCGCTTGTCATGCGGATCGTCAAAGTTCTTTAGGTCCTCCATTGAATCTGGACACACAGCATTACTAGGAAGCCACGATGCTCGCAGCTCCTTCCGCTGCCAATTGTCTTTCGCGTCGCTTCGGTAGAAGAGACGCCTCAAACTGCAGTTAGTCACCAAGTCGCCAAAACAGACTGTTCTCAGTTCCTCTTCTCGTGCCCAGAAGAATCAGACGCAGTCAAGTGGCGCTGGGTCGCCTGTCATCGCCCGAATGGCCTTGCTGCTTTTAAACTTCTGGGTTGGCGGTCGATGGGCCAGTCCCATGCCGTGCAACTTAAGCGGCCAAAGGCGGAGACGAAAGTCTATACATCATCCAGCCGAGGCCCAGGCCCATATAGTCTGGCCTCCCTCGGCATAACAAGAGTGAGACATGACAGGAAGAAACGATGCAAAGCCAGAGCCTCCAAAGCAGAGTAACCGCCACAGAACTTGGCAAAGGCCTCCAATTCAAACGGCAGCGTGTTATGCCGCTGTCTGTCGATCTGTCATGCCCCAGTTGTGCAACACAAAAGTCCATTACTCTACACCTCCGCGCAGGCAGCAGATCGTACCCTGCACCCTTTAACACTAAATCAGAGCGAGACATCCTAGCTGTTTCCGGCAAGACCGTCCTTCTCCATGAGCATCACGTACAGCTCGTTCTTGTTCGGCTTGCTAAAGAGGGGCTTGCAGGAGCCGTCTCGTTCGAAGGACGCCTGAAAGGCTGCAGTGAACGTCGGAATACTTCGGTCATGATCAGCCTTGTTGCAAGGAATGTGGTCATCAATGATGATGATTTCCCACTTTTCCTGGATACGGCAATACGGTATGCAAGAAACAAAATTAAGGAATGTCCAAGAGCTCTGCGCCTTTGCACCATCAAAGAGGCGAAGAGCGTACTTGCCGCGAGGGTTGACCTCTTTTGTCCTGTCGACAATCACCCTGCTTCCTAGCTTCTACAGCTTGAGGTGGTTTGCGCCTGGGCGCCTCGCCTGAACACGGCCTGAATGGCCCCCTTGTGCTCTGCCAAGCAAGCTATCGCGGCCAACAGCCAGCAATCGCCCAGTGCACCTCGAGGCACAAAGCGGTATGGCCGTCATCGCTGGGAGAAGTCTCACGTCCTGCCTTGACAGATGTCCCTGCTGTCCACCTCCTCACCTGAGCTGTATGCTATGATGGGGTCTCCTGAGTGCACGTGAAAGCATGCAAACTGCTGCTAAGCCAGCAGCTGAACAGCTGCATGCGACGCTGTCGTCCCTGGGTCGCTTGTTTGCGGAGAAAGGTCATCGAGAAAGACTCAACACCGGCCCACCGGACACCGGCCTGCTTGTCTTTGGGCAACGGAAACTTTCCACCCCTTGCGCTCTGTCAGATGCTGTCAGGCTGCGAGAACTGAAGGCTCCCAGCCTAACCCACTTTACTTGGCCTGCAAATTTCTGTCCTGTCCAGATGCCCCGCAGAGCGACTCTAAGACTCATACAGTCACCGACCAAGCTCCTTCTTCCCGGTCACCTGCTGCGCTGTCCCCTTTGACATCTCCGAGTGACACATCTTCAGGAGGGAAATCCTGTACTCCAGGTTCATTCTGCTCTGAGCAGCGCGGCTGACTCAGCACTGCACTCCTTGTCTGTGTAAAGCCAGCAGCAGTTGAAGGCTCTGCAAAGGCAGCAGCAGAATTTGTACAGGCCGCGGTTGAGGTAGACCCGGATACACCCGCAGCCTGTGTTGGATGGGCAACGACGGGGAAGACAGGCACCGACCCCGACACCGAGATGCAGTTTCTTTATGTGAGCCTCTTGCTTGGCAGCAATCGACAGGCTTGGCTGAAATTCGATGCTGTCTGTGACACATTTGGGTCAGGATTCGTGCGTGGTGACAACATCTGAACGTCTCTGTCGTTATTACTGCCATACTTTTTGCTTCGCAGACCGATTGCGAATCAAGTGGGTGGAAAAGGTCCGGGATAGACCAAAGTCTAAACACTCGCCGAGCCCATCCCGAATCATCGGTGCGCTAAGTGCCTCTGGCCGTGACCGACAAAAAGCATCAAAAAGCCCCGTGGCCAGTGGAATCGGTTGAATGCCAGACGTGGAACGAAGACCAGGAAGACTTGGACTGTCCAACAGGAATGTCCCGAATGTCGCCAGATCTTGTCTCTGCCTGACAGCCTAGCAACGCTGAGGCGAGGACAGTAGATACTTGTAGCCCATATGCACAGCACGAAGGGACAGCAAACGGCATTGTAGAACTTGCACCTTCAGCAGTGAGGCGTGTCTTCATTTTCGGCTCGACTCATGCGTGCCTGTGTTGTTCATGATTGGTTGAATTTTGTTGTATTGATTTATACGCCCTCACACAAAGCGAGACAGCGACAATCAGAGATCCTTGGCATCAGGCGCACGTCCGGTTAAGAGCTTTGACCAGCAGCAGCATGCATCCTGGCAGGATTAACCTATTCACCTGTCTAGAAAAAACAGCGATCTCACGGAACAGCACCACCTTGAAGTCAACTGGCATCTGGCTTTCGCACTTGTGAGAATGCGCGATAAAATGAGACTTCGAGCACGTGTTGCCCGATCTTGCAGGGAGTGAGTGTTTTAGCAGTGCGTGCTAGGGTTTTGACAACGATTCGATCTTCCAACTTTCGAAACAGCTTTATGGTGCAAACACTACCCGCTACCCTTCCGAGGAGCGGGGCAGCAGATGTAAGGCTGCAAGGCCACAGGACGATGATGACGCTGCGCGAGCAGAAAATGCAAAACAATGCAGAAAATGCAAGAAACTAAATTTCATATTTCTTAATGCACTGGACAGGCTCCAAGACACAATCTTTGAGCGTCTCGGCAGGGAGCTTCAAACAAGCCCTCTTAAGCATGCAGTGCTATGTACATTAACCGAGGACGATGGCCAAGGTGGGGCTCTGCCTCCTTAAAGCCAATTCAACGTCTGAAGGCGAGCTTCGCTTCGAGATGCCGTTGCCTTCGGACCAAGCTATGAAAAAAGCCTTGAAGACGCGGCTTGCGTCAACTTGCGAACACGACCTCTCAGTGCGTGTAGCCTCTGTATCTGCCTCCATGCGATGTGACCCTCCAAGTCCTTCTGCAATCTTATCTAAGTCTATAAAAAATGGCACGTGGCTTATTTGACCAGACAGACGTGTGATTCCAAGCTACGCGGTGCAGCTTCTGCAAGTGATGACACCATGTCACAACCCAGCCTTGGACGGCCGAGTGGTCCTCCTCGATCCAAGCCGAACTGCTTCAAGGGTTGCCGAAAGTCGAAAGCACGGCATTCAGATGCAACTGAGTCGAGAAGGACTTGCTCCTCGACTTGCGGCCCTCTGGAATCAAACAGAGCGAAATTGTCCTTGGGGCCCGGTGCAGTCATTCGCCGATTCGCAGAAAATCTTGGATCTTCATTTTGTCTCAGCTACGAACCATTTTGCTCCAAGTGCGCTTCATCTGGCACGCGATAGGCAAAAACCAGCTGCCGAACGCACACGACAGGACTTGTGGTGAACGGTGGCCTGGAGCTCTTTCCATTTGGTTCGTGGTGCCGGCTCCGTTTCCTGAAACGCTGGAGGAACATGCTCTGGCTCAATCCCTGTATCTCTCTGAGGTGCACACGAATCGCGCACGAAGACCCACGAAACGAGCGGAGGCGGATCGCACCGGATCCGTCTTTGCGGAGGGAGACAGGTCTGACCTGCAGCTTGCAGCGGTGGCATCAGCAACTGTCTGCCTGCATTGGAATTAAGGCCAGAGCAATTCGTCACTTCTGGCACTGGAGACTTGAGCCTGTGCATACAACGAACTGCGAGGCAGAGACCTTTCAGCATTCATGGCCTTGTCGATGTCCCGATGCTCACGAATTGGCGACCTTTATTTAGTGGTCGTCTCAAGCAGTGGAAGCGCTGTTGAGTTGCACGATGGGTTGTGTAGCTATGGCAAACTCTCAACGTCGCTTCTGCTTTGCAGTTTGACATCGTTTGCACTGCTGTCCTGAGTGCTGAATACCGCCAGCCAGGAAGGTACTGAGCTTCTGGCAATCCTCCACGAACGGGAGACAGTGCCTTCATCTGGTTGAGAACTTGAGGGAGAAACCGAGCGGCAGCACTTAAGTCGTGTCGTTTCAGCTCAGGCAGCAACTTTACTGCGTTCATCCAACAGCGACATCACCTCGTGCCGTGAACAGAACCGCGGCATAAAGGATGCATGATGTTGTTTGCAGCGATGAGTGGTTTTACCAGCCACGGCGACCAGCCATGGACTAAGACCCATTGCCACGCAAAGTTCAGGGCCAACATCAGTTGAATCTGCTGAGCTCTGACGAAGTCTTCAGGTGAAGAAGGGTCTTCCCCCTGGAAACCAGTCCATAAAAGCAAACGGCAGAGACTGAGAGGTGCCACCATGGATGCTGGAATGTCGTACTCCTGTTAAACAACACTGTTGAGCAGCCATTCGCTACCAAAAGCATGCTGCGCTTCACTGCCACCCACGCCTGTCCCAGCAGCTCTGCCAAGTGGATAACATTCTCGTCTCTCTCGTGCGAGTCGAAATGGAACCCTCGATCATCAAACCTTGGCAGGCGTGGAAAACTACGGAAGCTTCGGCAAGTTCTTCCGCGAAGACGAGAAAGGGCGCGGACTGCTCAAGGTCGGATGCGAATCGATCATGGATGAAGGCTGAGACACAGGAAGGGCTAGGACGGCTAGGACAAGAGGCTGCACTTCAATCTCCAGCCTTCCTCCTCTGGCGGCCTTTCCTCAGATGCCTGCGCGGAAGAATTTGGGATAAGTCGCAGCAAGCACTCAAGCACGTTCTTTTCCAGGTTGCAATATCTCCATTCGCAGGCTTCGGCAGTCATGAGATGGTCCACTCGCCAACAGTACCATGAACACCATATACACCATGCAACCTTCGACACCTTTTCTCAAGTCGGCCTCTGGCCCTGTGGGCTGTTGCTATAATAGAAGGCAGCATTCAGCAATGCAACGCATGAATAGCTTGGCGGACAGCATCACGTGTGCTTTGACTTTAGGGCCACAGCCTCTAACAGCATCGGTCCGAAGGTGTTCAGCAGGAACATCCCGACGATGGACATGCCTCAGCGCATCTCAGCGCCGACATTCCCAAACCGCTCTGGCCGAAGGCTGAGGCTGGCGCAAAAGATGTAAAGGCGCGCAGCTGTAAAGATTAAGTGGCGCGCCTGAGGCTGTCGCGATGCTTCTGACTGCACCAAGGCGTCAGAAAGGCTTCGCCTCACTCCGGTCCTCGCGCGCTTCGTCCTAAAGAACACATGGGGATGAGAGTCTAACGCTCTTAGTCCGCTCTTTGTCTCTCGTCTCGGCTCGCACTCAGCTCTTTTCCTGGAAGAAGCGTTGGTTCACGGGCACAGCGCCCAAAGCTCCTTGGATGGTGGCCTCGCATCGGCACACGGCAGTGGCACGCAGCCATCGTGGCGTTTTGCATCTCAAAAGTTTTCCTGGCAGCATGTTACAGCCCGGGGCCCTTGCGCGTGGGAGGACAGAAAGAAAGCAGAAGCATGCATCGGCGAGAGTTTGCCCGAGTCCTGCATCGCTTCGCTCTCGACTTGCCGCGGGAAGCGTCTGGGAATCGAGTCCATTACCTTGGTTCTCTGTTCGGCGTTGAGCTGCCGTTGCTCTGACCTCAGGCACATTCGAGCGAGGTCAACCAAACGGCGCGCATATTCACTTGCCTGCTTGGGCGAGGGGAGTTGATTGCATCAGGGTTGGCCCTGAACACTCAACTCACACTGTGAGTACTCTCGAATTGCCCAAGCACACCGGCTTTCTACCCAACTCCAACCTTCTTCACAGCTTGCTTGCTTATCCATCCAGGACGCAGAAACCGTGCACAGGACTTTGTTTGCAGTCGGTTCGGTTTTGTTCGGTCTTGCACACAAACTACAGCTCTGCTGAGCGCCCCGACGCTCAGCAGGACCCCGGCAAAGCGTGCAAGAAGCCCCATCGCCTCCGAAGAGTGTACAGTCAAGCGGGCAGACAGAGAGAGAGAGAGAGAGAGAGAGAGGGGAAATGGAAGACTCCTGTCAATGTCAAGTCATTTCAAGTAAGTTCTGTGCCATAATTGGAAGAACCGTCACCAGAGTTGGGAAGATTGATGGACCTGACCGCTACACGAGCAGGCCTTGGACCTTGCACTGGCCAAGATGCCTGACCGGAGTCAAGTCCGAGAAGACGGCTCGTTTTGCTGCCCAGCATGGCAAAGAGGATCAACCTCAGGAGATGCCAGGCCAAAGTGTTAAGTCGTTGGTATGGGACAACAACTGCATCGACGTGCTGTGAACATGTGCTGATTGCTAAGTTGGGGACTGCGCGAAAACCCAAACGCCACCCATGATTTGTTCAACCTGCACTGCAATCGGTGTCCAGTGACCCGCAGAGGCTTGTATGTTCAATTCACAATTAAAGAATGACGACCTGAATCTTCAGCGTGACAAAACTCAAGCTCAACGAACTTGTGACGTGCAAACTCCTGCGCCAGCAGATTCTGGCTGTTGTATCTCTCGCAGCACATGGCAAAGGTTGATCCCGTCACCTAGGTGCAAACAAAATTGATTGTTCTAACGCCTTATGGGCGTAACAATGAGTTGCATAGATGCTGGGTATAGGTCTGGAACACTAGTCAGTACGAATACTCGTACTAGTACTGGAACCTAGTGCTAGCACTAGATTCCACTGGCACTGGTACTAGTAGCAGCAGTAGCAGCAGTAGCAGCAGTAGCAGCAGTAGTAGTAGCACTACTACTACTACTACTACTACTACTACTACTACTACTACTACTACTACTAGTACTAGTACTAGTACTAGTACTAGTACTAGTCGCAGTTGTTATAGCAGTTGTAGCAGCAGATAGTGGCAGTAGTTAGTAGTAGCTAGTAGTAGTTACTAATTGCTAGTAGTTTCTAGTAGTTAGTATTAGATAGTAGTTGCTGGTAGTCAGTAAGTAGTAGCGGTGGTAGCAGTAGCAGCAGCGGCAGCACGACAAGGATGAGTAGTCGCAAAGCAAGACAGACAAACTACACCATTGCTACTGCTGGGTAGCGGATCTGTTTGGTCGATGCTGGCTGGTTTCCAGAAGCAGATCAACTAGGAACCGATGTTTTCTCAGGTCTTCTGGATTCTCTGTTCCACTGATTAATCACAAAATATTAGCTTTCTTTCTTTCTTTCGCCAGGGCTATGGTGCAGAGGTTTAACCCCCTACACCGCGCGCATGTGCGCCCCCGACTGTTGCGGAGGAGAATCTATGGCATTCCGCAAAACATCGGCTCTGGACCTGTAAAAAGGACCAAGCTCAGCACTCAGCTACTGCACTCCGAGAAGCCAAAGCAACAGGATGAAAAAGTGCCAATATCAGAACAATTATCATAGAGGGCCCGAATCAAGCAGAAGTTCAAGGGCTTCAAGTGGAATGAAAGATAGCCGATGGGGGTCCCCGGGCAAATGCAATCTAAAGAAAACTCAAGGGCACATCCCCGGCAGACTGAAAATCGAATGGCATCAGGCTTTGAATTACCTCGAGCGGAGGTACGGCAAGTTGAGAGATAGCTGGCTCCTGCGGCCCGTCATATTGTACATGGAAGAAGAATTTCTTCTGGGGAATTCCCCACACTCAGTTGGAAAAGAACGGAGAGGCACGAAAACATCGAAGGGATTCGATCTGTTCACTCATGCAAGCCTTCATGCCTAAACTACTGGGTCAGTCCCAGAAAACTGCCGCACTGACGGTTGCGCTCACTGCTCAGGGCTCTTCACGGGCGCTGCATTCTCGCGAAGGTTGACGGCGTCGGGGTAGGGGTGAGCCCCTGCGCTCAGGAAGTGTGTTTCTTCTCCTCGGCAAAGGCGAGCGCGTGCGACTTCTCACTGGGGCATCTCCCCGGCTTGTGGCAGGTGTGGACCTATGACTGTCCTTTGACCAGGTACCCGATGCACGTTCACGTCGCCGGTGTTGTCGATATTGTTCTTTCGTCGCTTTGCGGTAGGCAGCCCACATTTGCTCGTCTGTTGAGTACTGTTGCAGGCCAAATGGGGCCTGCCCCTGTTCATCTCGTTGTTTTAGAAGAGCATGTAGTCTGGCTCTTTGCTGCGCCGTAAGAGACGGAGGGGGTCCGGTAGGCGAAGGGGGAGCCACCCCTGGATGCAAATCGTGCTCTTCGTCGGACTCTGGGCTTGGCGGTTGCTCAGGTGCAAGGAGTGCATCCTTCTCACACGCCTCCTCGTCGAACTCGGGCCTCAGAGACTGTTTGGGTACGACTGGTTCTCCTTCATCACGGACTGCTTGGGGCTCGTCTGAGCATTCGAACTTCAGGTCGTTCTGGCGGTATAGGGGAAAGATCATGACGTTGTCGACATTGTCGCTGTCCGGCAGATCTTTGAGGACATCAATGGAGGGGTGTAGCCCCTGGGACACTTCACCTTCTCGTTGCCAGCCTGGTGGTAGGGGTTCAAGCCGGGCCCAAGTAGCGGGGTCTGGCTCCTCGTAATCTTTGGAGCTCTCCTTGGGCGCTGCATTGTCATGCAGCTCAGTAGCGCCAGCCGAGTGTTGGTACGTTGCTCCTTGATCGTGTAATCCATGTGGATGAGGGCGTTCTCGGAGGTCAGGATCGTCACGTGGGGCAGGTTTCGCAGCTGCGGGTCCGACTGATGGTTTTCCCGGTGCTGTCATGGGACCGGCTGGGATTGCCCTTGCTGCGCCGGCTTCCAGGGGAGTAACCCCGCTAAAAACGTTCGAACGTCTGATTGGCACCGGCAGGGTCCATTCAGGTTCTGGTTCCTGGGTTAGCTCAACTGGACCAGCGGGGTGCATAGAAGTCGGCATCGAAGGTCTCGAAGGTGAGGTTGAAGAGGTCGCAGGGGACATCCCCGGAGCTGAGTGCGGTGATGGCGGCACGAGGTCGGCAGGAGCGCTAGCCGTGGCACAAGGGGGACGCTGTATTGACCGTTCCCTTTTCGGCTTTTGCTTTGGATGCCGAAAAGGTTTTGCAAAGGATCCTCTAAGAGCTCGCCCGAGATCTCCTCGTCCTGGGGCGAAGGTGTCCCCACCTGCGGTACCTGCGGTTGTGGTGCTTCTCGTCGGCGTTTACACGGGCTTCAGATGCTTTGGAGGGGGGTGTTTCCCGCGGTGTTGTCGCATCTCCTGGGCCTGCGGCTCTCGGCGTTGAGCTTGAGGGGGCCCCGCTGGAGAGAGCTTTCTTGACCTCAGCGTCGATCTGCTGCTGGCGCAAATAAGCCCCCATCTCCTTCGGATCTTGGCTGGAACAACCATGAAGAATGCAGTCTGGGTCCTTGCGGTTATGTCCACTATGGCAAGAGGGGCCTTTGAGAGATCGCAGGCACTTGGGGGTAGGTCCCCTAGTTTCCTCAGGGGTTTGCCCCTGTTTTGGGGCCATGGCGTAGGCAACGATGTTCTTCTTGGTGCCGTCGGGGAAGTGTCACGATGCACAACGAGGGCAATCTGTACGACCCGTACCGGTTGTCGGGAATCGTTCCCCGGGCAATGGCAAAGAGAAGTGTCGCCGATATTGCTCAGGTAGCTAATGACAGCGTCCACAAGGAGGTGGCAAGGCAGCGGTCACCGTGCTGGTCCGAAGCCACCGAAGTCACGGAGGACAACCTGGAAGGTGAACAACGCAGAGAAGCCGTACTCCCCTTTCAGCAATGCGTCGGAAGAAAGTTGAGAGAGAAGGCGGAGTGACGGGACAAGTTTGGTTGTCCCGTGGGGGGGCTAAGAAGAAGTAAGGAAAGAGGGCTCACGGAGGGCCCCCCCACGGGCTTGAACCGCTCACGCCTTGAGCCAAAATGGCTACGTCTTGAGCCAAAATGGCTACAAAATATTAGCTCTGCACCTCTCTCGTGCAGCCTGCAAGTGAGCAGAGGCTCAAGGCCTGTCTTAAGCTCTTCACAGGAAGATGTCTCCACCCGGAAGCCTCTAGCAGAGATATGGACGAGTGTCGCCTACATCTTCCGAACCCCTCCTCACTGTTGCGCACTATGGAAATGCCAACTTGTTGCGATCCACCCAGCGATTCAGAGGTTCGGACTACATGACTGCCTTACACAGCTTGATTTTGAACCCACATCACACGGGCACAAGTGCCTTGTCCCGATTGCCACATACGGTCTGCTCCCGCCCTCAAGCACCGCAGAAGGTCTAAGAGCCTAAGTCCACCACGATGACCATTAGCTCAGGCTGAAAGAGCGAGCCGCAGCCTCGGCCGGAAGGCTCGCCGTGGCTACAGTGGCAAACTGCCTTTGGCACACGCTCAGGCCCGTTCCAAAGAACAGAGGAAGCGTCCTTGGCTCTTCAAATCCAGGACTGAAGCGGCATGTTTGGACTGAGGAAACCACGGCCTGCCTTTCGTGTTGCTCCCGAGACCGTAGGCACAGAGGGCTACGGCCTTGATGGGCAACTGAAACCCCCAGTGACGTCAATGCTTGTCCTCTTGTTGTCGCGTCACCTACAGAAACTGTCCTGTTGGTGCATGTTTTTACGTGGGCAACCGTCGATGGAAGCAACATTGCAAATCAGACTTCGGCCAGAAGCATCAGGAAGGCTTCAACCTTGGTGCATGAACAAGGCGTCAATGCATGAAACCTGCTGACAGCACACGAGTCTGAAGCCGGTTGGTTGGTGAAGACCTGGTGCCCGAACAGCGTCGCCTCCACAGGCAGTACGGGTCCGCACTTCAACCCGCTCCCAGCACTTGCGTTGACTTCCTGCCTCCCTTCTCTTGTCTATAAGGAACCATGCTGCATAGCCCAGTGCTGCCTCGGGCTCGCGGCGTAATCTGCGTGCTCGACATGGCGCTATGCACGTTGAGCGTGCTTGCTGTAAGGACGGCACTCCCGCCACGACGGTTGCTGCTATTCGTATCACCGTGGATGCAAGGAGCAACACGATATTGAGACTTGGCCTGATCTCACAGTCAAGCAGAAACAGAACCGACACTGCGCGAGATCCAACTTCGGCCGCGACATCGTAGCCGGAGCTGAGACCGCAGTGAAAACCTAAGCCATGCATCGCAGCCAAAGATTCAATCGCCTGGTGGACCGTCTTCGTATTCAGATATGTTCCGATGAAAAACTGAGGCCACCGCGCCAAATAAAGTTAGCGCGTAGCTGGCCTGAGACTGATGTGAATCACAGTAGCTAGAATCTAGAAGAGCGACTGGCAAACTGCCGCACACACTCTCACAGTCTCACACTCGCGGGACGCGAAGGGAATCGCTCTCTGCCTTGCCTCCACTGGAGCCCAACATAGCATCAAGTAGGGCCTGACCAGTCATGTTACTCCCGACATGCCCACGAGTGATGGGAGTGTTGTAGCTGTAGGCCACGGACATTGGATGCTGCTTGTGCAACACACTAAACCTGTGAGCGAAAGCATAAAGTCAGAGCTCGCCTCCCAGATAAGGCTCTGGCTCTTTCATCTTCGGTATCACCAAGCCGTCACCAACGGCGACCAGCACGGTGCCCAGGTTCTGGGTTCCAGGACTAGCAAACTAGGCGTACTGGCGCCACAAGAACGACAAAGCCTCTCTGAGAAATCAAGGCCCCCAGCGACAATGCCAGGGAGAAACAAGATGTACGAGTGAGGCACGTGCAAACGACAGCAGGAGGAAAAGGCAACAGTATGCCAGATTGAAGCAGCAAACCCGAGCTCGGGCCGTTTGCAAGAGACTGAGTCCGCGGCCAAGCCTTCAGCCCAGGTGAAGCCCAAATTACACACCTGCGACATGAATCCGACCCTGCACTGGCGATTGCATTTCCGGCTGTGCCGTGCCCCCCGTGGTGTGCCAACATGTGCCAACTTGTCCGAATCGCTTTAGAGCTCACAGCGACAGCAAGTCACAGCAAGTTCTTTGATCCTCATGCCAACTCCGCCTTGAGCGCTTGGAGTGCCCGCTGAATTCTGCAGAGCCCCTCGCGAAAGTGCTCGTGGGAAATGTCGAGAGCGGGGCTGATCATGAATCCTCTAGGCTCCACGAAGTAAGGCCAGACAGCCTCCTTCTTGCAAAGCTCTTTGAGGCGCTGGAGACCGCTCCCTCTGAGGAGTTCTCCACCCCAGAGAAGTCCCTGTCCATGCAGATGGAAGAACTTCTCATCTTGCAAGGGGCCGAGAATCTCGATCACAAGCTCGCCCAGCTTCCTCACGTTGCAGAGCCATGCTGGCACCTCTCTGAGAACTTGAGTTGCAGTAAGGTACGCAAGCGATGAAGATCCGGCATATGTATGGCTTTGCACCACGTTTTGGCCAGACTCTAACAAAGTGTTTGCACCGCCACGGATGGCGACCCCCGACAGCGGAAATGTGCCGGATGCGATTGCTTTGCCAAAGGTAACGCCATCTGGATTCAGCTCCCAGGCAGAGCTCAGAAACAAGCTTTCACCCTGCCCGTGGCGACCTGCCGGATGCAGCCAAAGTATCAAACACAAATGTAGGGATGAAGTAGGCCATTCTAGGAAGAACTGGTGTGTTTTTGTGCCCACCCTCGGACCTAACCCGCACATAATCTCGTCGCACAGAACGCTTCTACCCAAGCCGTGACAAAGTGAGATGACGTTCCGGAGCAGCGCAGCCGGCCAGGTTCGGCCCAGCAAGCTGGAACCCCACTGCGGCTCAAAGATACAAATGCCGACTTCTTTGTGCTCCATCAGAAAATTTTCAAACTGATCTAGGTAGGCTTTCTGGGCTTGCTGGCTTGTCGCTGCATCCGCTGGCGGCAGAGGGTATGGCACTTGCCCAAGAGTCCGTGGTGCCTTGTTCCAGCGTGGTAACGCAGGCTGTCCAAGAGCGGTCGTCTTTGCACCATGATAGGAATTCTCGGCAACTCCAAGGTAGCATGTTTCATCCCCGGACACTTGAATCACGCCGCTTGCGCTTGCGCTTGCAGCTGGAACGATGTTATGGGAGCGCAAGGTCGCCAAAGCTTCCACCCCTGCCCAAACTGCAGTTGCGCCTTCGAGCTGCAAATTCAGAAACCAATCGCAATCGGCTTCATCGGCTGGCCAGGGCAAGTGAAGCGAGAGGCTCTCCACGAAGTCCGCGAGCGCACGTGGAACGCCTGAGGCTGCACTCCAAGCTATTCCTTTCCTGCGCATATGGCGGCTCTCCCTGCCTTGTTTCTGCTGCCAGGACGCCTGCACTTGTATGTATTGCAAGAGGCTCCCATGGTTTGTCCATCTCCATGTTCTCGATAGCAGTCTTCTGATGATCCAAGGCTGGCCGCAAAACTTTTGCCAGTCGAGGCCCTGTAAAGACTTCTGAGCATGCTGCTCCTTGCCCAGGTCTTGGCAGATTCAGGCTCTACACTCCAAGTCGTGTCACACTTGAAACCCTGCAGCAAGGGAGGCACCCATCTCTCCTATCAGTATCGCCTCCTCCTGCCTGTCACCGTGCAGGCGCCGAAGCTTGGCCCCATGCCTTTCCAGCACAATTCCAGGGCCGCTCTGCCCACTGACCTTGAATCCGCATGACAGGTGCAAAGTCGCAATTTGCTTTGCTCACTGCCTGGACGGGTGACGGAAAAGATGCCGCACAAACGACAAATCCGAGTCACAGGGCCTCTTGCGGCCAGACGTTTCAGAGACGCCTGCGATTTGGCAAACAGGTCCACGTCCTTCGTCGATGTCTCTCCTGCACAATTCAACCCACGAGGAAAAAAAACTCTGAGATCTGGCTGGCCTCGCGCTGCCATCTTAGGTCTCAGGGGTTCTCCGACAACTCAAGCTGAAGCCAAAGCAGCGGCGCAGCCATCAGATTGTTGACTTGTGATTTGCACCCCTGCATCCGTGTCTTGCACATTTTGTGGAAGCCCTTCGGGCGCACCGAATACGCGGCGATGGCCAGCAACTCCGCGGTGCAGGGAACCAAGGCCAACACCTTCGGCGAGTGGAGGGGCGGAGGGACTCTGCTGGAGCCGAGCTTCACACTCAAGTCCGGGACGAAGAAATAAGGTTTCAGATGAAGGATGGAGATCCTCAGAAAGACAGCCTACGGCCTACCTGGGCCTACCTTCCCCACGAAACGGAATCTGAAAGGCGACTCTTGGGTCTGGGGAGACGGCTCCAAGCCTGCGGTCAAGAGAACCTCCGGAGGCGCGAGGAGAGGCCGGGTGTTACTGTCTCTGTGAGAAGGAAGCAAGCTGCCGACCAAGAAGAAGGCAAGCTCTTGAAGCATGTCTCTGCCGACGAAGATGTCTTCCTGGAATCCGCACATGGTCCATTGCCGACAACTTTCACACAGTCTGCCTGAATGAAGTAGCTAAAGCTCCATCCGGTCAGTATGACGCCGACCTGATTGATTGACCCAGAATCCATCAACGGATGCGTCATGGCAAGCGGCAAGCGAGATCCCGACAGACGCAGGTAAGCATAAACTCACAAACAGCGTTCGCACCTGAAGCTGAGCGTGTTGTATCCAACAAGCAGAGGTCATGTGTGGTGTATACAACAATACAAGGCCAGGACCAAATAGCCGACCTGGGCATGCTTTGCCCCGCATGATCCCGCATGTGACATCACTTGGTGCAGTTTGCCATTGTGGATTGGTCTTTTCCGAGGACTCTTATGCAGTCGCACGAGGAATGCTCAGGCCCAGCTCCGTGCGGGGATTCCCCAAATGTACGGGCCTTCTGCAGCGGGCTGATATGTTCGCCCCGCTCGGCCTTAGTACCTTGAGGCCTTTGCTCAACTGATTCCGTTGCCTTAGTCCCGCTTGCTCGTCCCCGATTTCATCATGACTTTGTCCCTCTGGATCACCCTGACATCGTCCAACGACATGTCGACCCACTCTTTCACTTACCAAACGATTGCCCGGTGCACTGCATCGAAGGGTGACCCCCACTGCTGTGGTGGTTCAACAGTATGTCATCCTCCTACACATGTCCACTTTCCTCTTGTCCAGCTTCTTCACCCGACTCTTTTACTGGGCTTCATATGGCCCCTGCATTCCCACCAACTGTTGCCATGCGATGCAATGCCATCATGTCGCGATCCACTGAGGATAACTTTGGCTATCTGTTCAAAGGTAATCTCGCCTCAGGACCTCGGGTTCTAGCTCCGACACCAAGAGTGGCTAAATCGCGCCGCCGCCAACATCATCTCCGCCTCGCCTCTCTCCCGCACCGAGCGCGATGTTCGTGGGGCGTCGATGCTGCAGCTTGTGTGGGGGCTCCTCCACGCTTCCGAGTAAGCTGGAAAGCCAAGAAGCTGGAAGCCCACGAGTAAGCAATGTGTGCGTGTGTGTTGACACCTACTGATTTCTTGCCTTGATCCTTTCGTGCCTCTCTGGGGCTGCCTCTCTGTTAATCAGTTAATCTGCATTCTGCTGTGGGCCCGATTCTGGCTCGGGCAGTGGCGAGAAGCAAGTAAGCCAAGCCTAGCTGAAGCGGATATTGCTTCGGAAGCTGCGCCGCTTCCTTGGCAGGCGCTTGTAAGCATGAGATACCCGAGCTATATGAAACGCACCGAGAATCTGAAAAAAGATAAGCACAGCACCACATGAAGCGACGATGTTGCTGAAACATCATCATGCATGCTGGCCCACTTTGAATTCGTTGACTCGTTATCAGCTGTCGAAACTTCAGCAGTCACTGTTGGGTCCTCTCTATATCTATAGCCAGGATACTCTGTCTGACTGCAGACCATGGGCTTCAACACAACCTGCACGTAAAACATGAGCAATTACGTTGCATGCAAGCCTGCTGTGGGTTGCAGGCATTACAGTAGCCAACGCCTGAGAAACTCCTTTGCAAGATTCGCAGGAGAGACAAGGACTCCAAGGACCCGGGACCTCTCCGGGAACTGTGAGCTGGTCAAACCCTGCTGCAGCGCAGCACTGTTTTATGTCAACTGATGCAATCCGCGCAGCACGACAGTGCGACTGCGCGGCTCAGACCGACGGGGCGACCCGACGGCGGCTGCAAAAGCTAAAACTATTCAATAGTTCTGTTGCAGCATCCATGATGCCACCCTTCACACAGGGGGCATCATGGCCTTAAAATGATCTTAGAGGCCGTGGTGACTGCAAGATATGGACAAAGGAGGCCAGGAGACTCTTGGCTCCGCCATCACGACTCAATTTGAAATCTGCGTCTGTCTTCTGCTCGTGCGTTGCCGGCAGACAATTGGGACTACCTAAGCTGAATTGGAGAACACAGCAACTCTGCATTGTACGGTATAGTTGTATGACTGTTGTATTGTATGTATACTTGTGTTTGGCGTGTGTTGCATATTAGTGTCTATTAGTTGGTGCACTCTTTGCTGGCCGAAAAAACAGCTGCTTAACGCAGCTGCTCAGGAATCAACAGCAAAGGCGACTTATTCTGAATGCAAAAGGCAAAAAACAGAGCAGCCACACACCCGCAGTGTTGTCTGCGGTTGCAACACGGCCGCTCTGCGAATCTCTGTACGTCCGAGCCTGGTCACTCTGTAGGCTCTGCAAGGCCACGCACTGGCCCCACCTGGCATCGAAACGGTGTTGGAGTGCACGCAAGAGATCTCGAAGCGCTCTTCTGCTCTGGCCTTGGTGTGCCCGGTTTGCCGGTTTGCCCTACGCCAACTTCACCAAGGCTTGGATCTCGGCCTGTCAAGCGCTTGCAAGAAACAACCGCAGGCAAGCCCAAGCCGCCCATTGGACCTCCAGCTTCATGAGAAAGTCCAGAGCCTCCCACAGGAACCCGACGCCGAGCAGAACACGTTCACATGTTGCCTTTCAGCTTCTGTGTTGCCTCACGAGGTGTTGGTCTGGAAACCACCACCTCCACAAGCCAAGTTGGCAAACCTCTGGTGCATCCATGAGTGTAAGCGAGAGAAACAGCGGCTGTTGGCTCGTTGGCCGAGTGTCGCACCATCTTGGGGTCCGACGACCTCCTCCCCTTCTCTTACATGGCAGTTGTGCCTCAGCAAAGACTTCCGCTCCAAATGCGCTCTTCGTGAATATCCTGCATTCGTGGCATTAAAGTATCACGGACGCGAAGCTCTCTACCTCAAGCTCGTCTGGGCTCAGCGGTGGGACAGCGCGTGCCAGATCGTGCCAGCGAACCACCGTGCAAGATGATTACTTCACATGCTCCACATTGCCTTCGAATGCTACCCGCTTCCTGAACATCGTTCCAACATGCATTACGTCGTCACTACGTCGAATCAATCATCTTTGGGGAACAGCCGCCCGCACTGAGAGGCAGGCGAAACAACACCCTCACGTTGCAGCAAAGGCTTCATGAAGCTGAGGTCCACAAGTCTGACGCAAAGCACCAAACATCCCAGCTGGAATAGTCGAAGGTGGCCCGACCTTCCCGACCGCAGCGCATTCACCTCGCACTCGATTTTGGCACAGATGCTCGTGCGCAGAGCAATGATTGTATCAAGCAGCGTCGGCATTGGCGATGCACTCAACGGGCTTCCTGCAAGAACTGAGCGACAAGGCCAAGAATATTGGGCAAGCTGGCAGCGGCCCGACTAATGACACTTGATAGTCATCAAGAGCAAAGGTCGGAAGGTCGCACGCCCAGTGACCGCGGGGGTTGAAAGTGGCCCCAAGACCATTATGTGCATCTTATGCGCCTTGAAGCGCAGTCGTTCCAGAACGGCTTGGACGGCGAGTGTTGACTTGCGCATGTCTGGATGTCCATTTGCATGCATTTAGGTTTTGGTTGATGCTTGATTGCACGAAGCTGCTGCTTTCTTTGTTGAGCGGCTGGTCGGCCACCCGTGGGTCCATGATATAGATCAAGTGACGCATACTTTTCGAAGATAAACCACACCACGCCAACTCAGGTTTTCACAAAATAGGGTGACGGGGGAAGACCATAAAATACTCCCATGTCAGTATCGCATTTTGTTCTTTGCGGAACCGCATTTCTGTTTGTGGCCGGAGGTTAAGTGTGAAAGGGAAGCACTGCGATGGAAACCATCTAGTCAAGAGAAAGCTTCTTGCTTGGCTGCGCGTCCTCGTTGCCACTGGCCGCGATGGAATTCCAGCCGCGCAGAACAATGTTCTGGGCAGACGACATGTACTCAAGCACTTCACAGCAACCTTTCTCAACGAGCCAGACGGACTCTTCCACGAGATCCACCTGACATACGTTTCGAACTGGTCACGAAGCACTCAAGGATATTTTCAGCATGTTGCACAAGACACTGCTGAACATGCAGGTGTGACCCCCCAGGTTTTGAGATTAGTGGAATATACCGGGCCACCACCTCAAGGACCCGCAGTACAACGTCAAAGGCTAGCAGCTAGCATGCGTGATCAACACGACGCATCACAGGCCCGGACCCATTCGGGCATTTACCTGCAAAGTGTACCACAGCAAAGAGCAGTGCCCCGCATGCAAGCAAGGACGGCAAGGCTTGGTTGCCTCGATGAGTTGAGCTCCGTGTTGGCTTGTGTACTTCAGCTCCACGTGGAAGATGCCATCCTCCAAGAAAGACCGACTCATCGGATCAGGTCTCCTCTTGCGCTGCTGCCACGTCGCCTGAAACCCAAGCGCCTGGCGACAGGACAGGACACAATCGCTACGCACAAAGGTCTGCTTGCTTTCTACGTTGCCTTGACGCTGCTGACTGCCAGCTCCCGCAGCGCCAGCTGCCTGTCACGAGGCCTGAAGTGCTTGTGTTGCTTGCCGTTCTGAACGCACGAGAAGCGGGAAATGCTGCAAGACAAGAGATGAGCGAAGGATGGAAACTCTGAATGTGTTCATTGCAAGGAGACGATGTTGAGAGTCTGCGGCAGCCTGCTCAAATGTGTGGTGGAATCGAATGCACTGCTGCCACTGCTTAAAAAAGATGCGCATGCCCCAAGTGGGAATTCGCTTGGGAGCCAACAGGAGAGATGGAGAGACCGCCCACGTCTCGTTGAAATAAGGCTCCAGCCTCTGACACGATCGCAGTGCACGAGGCAGCTACATTGGGAAGCCTGTGCTTTGGGGCACAGACGTAGGACCATTGTCCGACACTGCCGCATACTGCCATTCACCATCTGACATGACGACATCCACATCAACCTCCCGGGCTGGCACGGCGAATGTAAAGGCAAAATGCTTCGTCTGGACGGCAACAAGCGCCTCTTCCCCATCAAGGTAGCTTTCGAGCACAAAGCGTGCCCCGATCACCGCACTTGCGCCTACGGCTGCCCCTGTGCAAGATGCGACAGGGAAATGCAAAGAAAGACGGCTGAAACTCAAAGTTTCAAGCACAAATTGCAAGGGCAGTGGGCGCAACAGGAGATCCTCCGGCCTTGTTGCCCATCATCCTGCGGGGCTCAGAGGCGGAAGAGGCTCGGCTCAAATCCGGCCCGATAGGCACTAGACTGAGTCATGCTGTGCCCTCCACGTCGTCTTTTCGCAGAGCTTTCCAAGGCATCTACCACGATCTTTCCCGTGTCGCACACGAGCACTTGCGTGCTGGTCTGGTCGCTGACATCGACAAGAAAGCTGGAGAAGTTTGTCGCTTTCGTCGGTGCAGGAAGAAGGAGTCGATGAGACTTCGCAGTCGAAGGTGCGTACCATAGGTTTCGAGAGGCGTCCTGGTTGTGCCCGAAATTCCAGCCTCAGCCGGCCTTACAAGCCGGCGCAGGAGAAGGCTGACGGCCCTGCGCGCGGGTGACCGCTGCGCCGCTGCTCCGAGCACAATCAGTCCAGGATTCCAAAGGCCGGGCCATCCCATACGACAGAAGTCAGACATCCACGCTCGTGGTCTGCCGTGGCCGTAGAAGGCATCAGCCGAGGACGACATCTCTGCCACAACTCGTCTGCGCACTGCCAATCTGCAGAACATAGCAGTCGTAGGCTAGATCCTCAGTATCGACGCCCCCTATGGCCTCGCAGCTGACCTGGAATCGCCTGCTCGAGAAGCCTGAGATGAATGTCGACTGGTGATGCATGCCATGCCGTTTTGACTGCTTTGCTACTGGCATGTCACTATGGACTTCTATGGGCTTGTTTCAGGACGCCTCCTGGCAGTGTGGTCTGCTTCTCAGGCACGTTGTACTGCGTCGCCAGCAACCTGAAATTAACAATCCATACGAGAAGAGGAAGCAAGGGCTCTTTGCGACAAAGGAGCAGCTGCTGAAACTCTTCAGCGCCGAAGCCTTGGTGGACGACTCTCTATGCTCCTGTGAGGCCTGAAACAAACTCCAGCCGCCGAAGCACGGTGGTAGGATGCTGCATTCACGATTATGGCGAACCCCCCTGGCTCCAGGAAGCGAGAGACCGCGTCCAAGACCGCTTGCCCCATCCAGAGTTCCTTGATTTTGCACGGTCTCTACTTGAAAGAGGAGTTGCGGCTATGTGGCTGCAGTCCCGGGGCATGGATGATCTCAGAGGCAAGAACCACCTCGAGCAGGACAGCCACTGCTGCACATGAGCAGCTCACGAAGGAGGCTTAGGCCTGGAAGGATGGAGCGGAGGTGGGCAGAGCACACCAATCCAGTCGCAACACGGAGACCTTCGGACCGAGGCCTGGCTCAGAGATGCGTCGACCCAAAGCCCAAAGCTCCCCAAAGCTCTCCAAAGCTCGGTCACCGGCCATCCAAGGCCAAGGACTCGAAGTCGTCGAAATCCTCCGCATGAGAAACTGAAGTGAAGCCCCGAGGGGCCGACGTCCGACCGCTCCCACCTTTGCGTCGATGCCTCGGCCCTTCATGACGTCGGCCAGGTTAAGCCGCAGCTGATGAAGCGCAGCCGGATCCACATCCGTTGCGACGACTGTGTGAGCTTCCGCTAGCACAGCAGCCATTGATGGGATTCCATGGTACCCAGCCCCGATCTCAAGCACCCGCTTGTCGGCAACTAGTTCTGGACAGCTCAGCACCAGTTTGGCCAGCAGCTGCGATCCAGGATACCTTGGCATGCTTCTAATGCAGATCCGATAGCTTTACCGTGGTGATACATGGATCGGGTTAAGACTTCCCCCTGGCAGGCGGACTTCGCAATGCTGGCCCACGGTGATTGGCAAGGCCCGTGATGATGTTGAACCCGAAACTTGCAAGCAACTCGATGTGCTTGCTGCTTTGGTACAGTGTGTTCGCGATTGGGCTCTTGACCTTCTCCTGCTTCTTGCAGCTGCGCAATGTGCACTGCAGTCTTCGCGGACACAACCTAACAGCGCAGAGGCGAAGGGGCTGGGATGAGCAAGGAGCTCTTAGATTCTTAGATTACAAATTACAACTATGCAGAGAGGCTCTCACAGAGACTTGCGGAGAGGTCAAGGAGACAGAAAGGCCCATGCGACAGAGGCACTGAGATGACAAATCGTCTGTTAGACCACGTGGCGCATGGCCTCGAACGCGTGGAGTGATAAAGGGGACTCAGGTAAGTCATTAAGGCTGTGTTGATTTCCGAATCCCAGGCCGCTGCCTGCAAACCAGCGTCGCATCTCCTCCGAGCCGGAGACTTCCAACGTGAGTGGCCGAACCCCCAGCAGCCCGTGCTCCGTCGAAAGTCGCTCCTCAACACTCAAGACATGTGATTCTATACTGGTCTCTGACAGGAACACGTGTCGTCGAAAGGGACACCACCGTGCAAACTAACGTTGATCAATCAATATTCCTTCTTCTGGAAATGGTCTCTCTGGACTCGTTGATGCCTTTCGCGGAACTTTCACACGGCATGTAGCTAGCAGCAGTAGTGACTAGTTGTAGACGAAGTACTAGTACGGTAACTAGTCGTAGGAATAAGGCTAGCACAATAAAGGAATACTCGTAGTGGTAGAATAGTAGCTGTGCTAGTAGTAGTAGTAGTAGTAGTAGTAGTAGTAGTAGTAGTAGTAGTAGTAGTAGTAGTAGTAGGAGTAGGAGTAGGAGTAGGAGTAGGAGTAGGAGTAGGAGTAGGAGTAGTCGTCGTCGTCGTCGCGGCACCATCGCCGCGAGTTCCACATTCTTTTACATCTAAACACCGTTTTACAAAAATCGAAGACCAGCAGATCTATGCTCAAACGCGTTCCAGCTGCTGCCGAGGTCGCAGCTCCACGGTCCAGCCAGTCCAAAAGTTCACTGGCTGCTTGCTGGACCTCGTCCGCGACATCCTGGCGAAAAAGCTGCGCGTCCTCAAAGACCCTACAAGTAGAACAGCACACTGCAGACTCTAACGCCCGTTTCCGACCCGCAAGCTCCTTCGCAGTGAGAAGTTGGAGCAACCGCTTTTGCAAGGAAGACGTCAGAGTGCAGCTGGAACCCTCCAAGAACGCCGTCCTCAACGCTATCCTCGAGGCTGGTGCAGCCATTCGCAGCACCGCGGCGTAAGACGGTCTAAGTCTAAGTTTCCTGCAGTGCAGGCAGGCATTGCCTGGACTCCACCGGCAGCCCCAGGAACTCCTCGCTCTTCACATTCAGCCCCTCTGAAGGTTCGTCGGACTCCACACAATGAAGTGCCGAAGGTCCTTCGCAGCGTCCTCAACCATGCGATGCGGCTCGCTCAGGGGCACGACTGTGCACACACGCACCGTATGATAGTGAAGAATACAGAATACATGTTTTGTAGCCTGCCCGATACAGGTACCACTTTGCTTGAGCCGATATCCGATCTGGTAGGTCACTGCGCAAAAACAGCTGTCCAAGCTCATCCGATGCCAGAGTTTTACATGCACTCCTTGATGATGGCACCACTAGAGATGACCATGGAGCCCAACTCGTGGTGTCGAGCCTAGGGATGCTCAGATTCCGCCCTCGTCTACCTTTCTTTCTTGAGGCTCATACACTGTATGCAGACCACAGCTCAGCCTCGTTCTCTACCTCTCAAACGGGCGAGGGCACAACGCACAAAGCTGGACCCGCTGCTGTGCCATGCCACCCCGCCTTCTTCACCCCGACGGATGCAGCACCAGACCTCGGATACGAGGAGCGGCGGATTAGCGGATGGCTCATGGCTACGGCCTTGCGGTCTTTGAGGGCCCCGGCACCGGCTTGAGCACGGCCGGGAATCCGACGGTGCGGATGGCCGGGTCGATGTCTTGCTCGGAGAGGATCTCGTAGACGGGGGGAGTCGGGAGGCCGTTTCTCGCCAAGGCCTGTCTGGTCAGGAACTTGTCCCTGGCTTGGTCGGTTGACTCGGGTGCCGGACCTGGCACACCCAAAGCCTCCGCCAAGCGTGCAGTCAAGGGAACAGAAAGCTCTGCAAATGTCGCCACGGCGTCCACTTTGCCGATCTTTGGATCCTTCTCTAGGTTCCGGATCGCCTCGATCAAAAACTCGAGCAAGCGGTCAGAGGACTGCGACATGTCGATGGCTAAGAATTTCACGGCAATGCCCTCGTCAACGAGCTGACGACTCCAGGAGTCTGCGCTATCAACTAGGACACTTCGAACACCCAGCTCGCAGGCTTTTTCGTAGATGAAACGCTTGCCTTCATAACCGGTGGTGATGAAGGCAATGGTGCTGCCCTTTAGAATGCCACGCCGAAGCTGCTGTCCAGCAAGGCCACGCTCGGTGAGAAGCCGCCGAGGGCACTTGGCAATTCTCTCGTTGGTGGTCGCATACTTCGGCAAATCGGCCAAAGCCTTCTCAACGTCAGCGACAGCTCTGTCACTGCGTGATTCATGTGGTGGCAGTCTACCTGGTGATGCCAGGATCTGTTCAAGCATGAAGCCAGGCTGTGGAGAATATCTTGCCCCCGCCTGTCGCCAGCCGATCTCCTGTAGCCTGTGTGGCTGTGCAGTAGCAACAGCCTTGCTGACATAGTGGCCTGGCGTCTCCTCGGAAATACTTAGCTTAATATCCAGCGCCTGGGGCAGCACCTGAAGCTTGGGTTCCGGCATTTGCCATGTGCCCCACGGTGCTGCAAAAGAAGGGACGGGAGATGCCCAGCTACCAACTCGAGGTCTCTCCTTTGACGGCACCTCATCGATGTCAGGTGGCAGGCCCCAACTTTGCGGAGAGGTGTCTGGTGAACGGTCCGCCCTCGCATAGGTGCTTGGGGGCTGGGCTGACAGCCAGCGGAAGCAACTGAAGCAGTCAGCAGGCGCACTCTTGGACTTCCTGTCCACCATTGATACCCTTCCAGAAACGCACTCCCCCGCAGCCGTAACGGAGCAAGACTACTTTGATCCTCAAGTCGGTGCAGCAGTCTTATGGCAACTGGCAGGTGCTGATGCTGCACATAACAGGCATGCAAGACTTTCCCAACACTGCGGCAAACTACGACAAGTCTCCTTTTTGATTGCATTCACTGTCTATCTTGTGGTTGCTTTGTCCTTCTCACTTGCTCCAGGCTGCGATCTTGGATTGCCGGGGCAACCACAAACAGTCGCAATCAAACGGTGGAACAAATCCCCTGATATGCAGGTCGGTCGCAGGAAAGAAGCCCAAGTGTGGGCATTCGATATGACCGCTGCGCGAGGAGACTGCGTGCCGCTTGGGTTGGCCTCATGGCCACAGCGTTGATGAAGCCAATAAGTCAATAAGAAGGCCATTTGCATAAGCAAAGACACCCGAATCGACCTTGGCAAGAGACCTTTAATGACTTTTACAACCTTATCGCCCTTCAACAATCAGAGCCTGCGCGGCACTGTCCGGTGGCGTCAAAGGCCTCGCTCACGCTCTCCGAACCGCAAAGCAACCCGCAGAACTCTGCATGTTCTCAGCAAGCCACTCTTTGTGCCCGGTGTGCCCAGAAACAAGGGCTGCCTGTTCCCGCCTCCTGCCATTGCTTCTGATCAAAACTGCCCACAAAAGAGCCGTTGACACTAGCGGACTCTTGACAGGTCGGCACAATATGACACAATCATGAAGAAGCCTTCAAGCAAGTGGTTCTGGGAAATTCTGCTCCATGACGATATTGACTTACCATAATTATTGTCGGCGGGCAGCATTCCAGGTCATCATGCCTGGATGCCTGGAGACATTCTCTGCGCCATTCTGCGCCAGTTTACAACTTGCACACCTGTCGCGCCCCGTTTCGATCTTGCCACACCCGCACACCCCTCCATTGCCTCCCTCCCCACCCCTGCGCCCCTGCTCAACACCTGCGCAAGCGCTTGCAGATGCTTTCTGTTCTTGATCCTGTGGATGAGGAGTGGTCAGCTGTCTCTCACATACGTGCAGTGCTAGCAGCAGCTTCCACGTCACACATGCGAGACATTGCGAAATGCCGCTGCAATATGCGTTTCGGAACTCTGCACCGCACTGTATCTCATCATCGTTGATTCGGCAACTGAGGCGTCGCTCAGCGTGTCTCCTGCGCTCCAGCAGGTTGCGCAGCTCGTTGTTCTGGCGCGCGTCCTGGCGCGAAAGCTCGCGCTCCTGGCAGAAAAGCCCCGAGGGTTTTTGCTATGTTCTGGGTCTGTTGGTAGGGAGAACATCCTGGCAGTCCTTGCTGACTTGGCCAATCAACTCTTTGCGCTGGTGCAGAAGCAACTCCGTGTTGGCTTCCTCAAACTCAGCATAAAGGACAGCGTGCCTACGGCCCACAGAAAATTTAGCACCGAGGAGCCATGTCAGCGTGAAAGGCCTCTACTGCAGAAAGGGCTCGCTTGATGCAGATTGGCACCCATGTCGACATGTTGCTCACTGGCCTGGAAGCTGGCGTTCATCTGCTGCAGGGACTGCAGCGTATGCATCTCATCGTCGAGAGAACGCTGCAGGAACCCCAGCTCCTGCGGAAGCGAACGCCGCATTTCTTGGGTCACGTCAGGGATCTCGAATATCGCGGTCCTCGACCAGGTGGTTACGGTCTTTGCGCAGGGACAGACTCTCCTTGCTGACTGCGCTCGTAGACAGCTTCCATTGAGAAGACCATTTTGGCCAGGGATCGAGGTTCAATGCTCGGCCATCATCTCTCAACTCCACCAGCCTTCTTTGAGCTTCAGCCTCATGGCACAATCCCGAGTCAACGCCGTCACGAGCGAGACTGAATCGATTGGCCGCATGAGTGAGACAAGTTGGGCTCATGCCACTTTGTGCTCGAGCTGCTGGGCTTCTTCAACCATGTAATCCTCACACTGGGTGCGAACAGCTTCGAGTGCCGTACTTGCATGTCTTGCTGATCCGGCTTGGCCATGCTTGGGTAGAGCTGCTGTGCCAACGACCAACATGCCGCGAGTCCCGGAACCCATGCAGCAGGGAGTCCTTAGCCTTCGAGTCTTGCATGCATTGCTGTTCCACCTGCCGTACGCATTGACTTGACAGCCCACGTGACAACTCGTGAACAGGGCGTGCCTTCAGTGTCGCATCTTCAATGCGTGCAAGCTCCTACTAGGGCTTGCAGCCCTATCCGGGCCACTCTTGGAACTTCACTGGCCGGTCAACCCGGTCCTGCTCCAAACCGGACATCTCCTCGTCGATCTGCTGACAAATCTCTCTGTCGGCCGACAACACCTCTGGCGGTGTGGGAGGTGCGGGCGCCGCCGGAGCGCTCCTCCTCGCCCCTCGCCCGCCCCCCCCCCCGGCCCCCCGGCCTTCTCGAAGCGCCGCGACAGGTCCTCGCCGCTTCGCTGCGGAGCCGAGCCTCGCTCTAAGGGAAAGGGCTCCGACTCGCCGAAACCTCGGTGCCGCCAACGGCAAAGGAGGACTTCCAAGGAGGGCGGCTAGCGGCTAGAGCTGGAGCTTGAGCTTCGGCTTACGTTGCCTGAGCTTATCTCCGCCTTTCTCCGCCCGGACCACATCAGCTGAGCTCTACAGCTGCCGAAGTCACTGCCAGTCACGACGGTGTAAAACGCGCGATGCGCCTTTTCGCCATACCTTCAACAGCACCTCCCTCGCTCTTGACAAAATAAAGCGCCAGAGAAAAAGGAAGGAGGAAAGGAGGCAAAGGTAGTGAGACATCAAAATGCTCTTCGAAGGCACAACAATCACAGCAGATTGGGCCCAAGTTGCGCTATCATGGGTTTAAGGGCAGCGGATACTTCGATCCAGGTTTGGTCTCAGCCGTGGGGCGATCACATCACTTTTGCCAACAATGCATCGCACCAAACGGCGCTTCCGCAGTGCAGCGCGCCTACGCTCGTTAATCGAAAGATCCGTCCTGGCGGTTGCAGGTCCCTCACGAATTGTGAGCAGGTTGGCCGTGCGTCCCTTTGACTATGCATATGCTGCCTGTTGCTGTGAGTGTGACGATCGATGGGACCTGGCATGACTGGGCCTTTTGTGCCTGCAATTCTGAGAGAGCCCTCATGAACATGAATGACACGAAAACACTGCGAAAACAATGTGGACTCAAAGAAACGAACACAAAAACAGCCTCCAAACTACTCTCTTTGCACACAGGCTGCTCTTTGCCACTCTTTGGAGAGGAGGGTTTGGGCGTGAGGAGCCCTCATGCTTGAGCATCTCCAAGTCCTTTAGGTGATTATCACTTCGCTATCCTCTCAGGCGGCTTTCCGTTTCCTGCCCGCTGGCCTGTCCTGTGCATGTTGGGCCCACCCGCTGAGCGAACGTGAGGCATTGTGGATGGGCTTTTCTTGAGGCCTTGGACCTGGCCTCCTCACAGAGTCCCTGAATGCCCAGCACCCGAGGAGCCAGACCCAGACCTTCCCTGTCCCTCCAATTGCCATCCAGCCACCGGGTCCTTGCTCCGCACCTATTAGCACGGCCAGCGCAACAAACTTCATGCACAAACGGGAATGTGAGCTCCCAGTGCAGGAGAGCAACCAAAGTCGAAGGAGGCAGCAAAGTCCATGCCGACCGAAAGCTGCAAACTCACTGGGCAGTGGACTTGGGTAGACGTGTGAGAAAAAATCGGACAGTTTCTGAGAGCCAATCCCGGATGGAGGAAAGGCAGCAGGAGTCTTTCTGAGAATGTGCACATAAATCTACAGTGAAAGGCGTGCGGAGAAAATGGCTTACATTGCCTGCACTGGTCTGATGCTTGACGAACTGATTTCGTGCCGGGAGAGACTGCGAACCCAAGATCCAGGACTGCTGCACAAGTGTCTTCAATCCCGCACTGCGGTGGCTTCAGGAATGCTGTGGCTGCCACGAGGTGCAGCTCATGAACCCTCGTCGACGCATGGCAGCACGCTTAACGATAGAGCTTCGGTGTTTCCCAGCGTGGCAGCAGGCATGCGTCGATTGAAACACAACCTGCGTCCGTTAGAAACCAACAACACGGCCTCACATCCATCGTTACGTAATGTCCGATATTGCCGTCTGATCTGCTGGAAAATAGCTCGTGATATTGAGGTACTTGCGTTATTATCTGTCCTTCCGCGGTCTGGAAAACACTGGCAAGCACACAATGCATTTGCAAAGGCGCTGGCAAGCTGAGTGTTGAAATGTTACGATACTGCCGGATCCGGAGTCTCAGGCCCGCGAAAACTGGGCCAAGACTTACTGCATTTTCATTAGCCACGGCCCATATTGCAAAGGTCATGCTTGTCGACGACGTCCTTGGCTCTTCTCGAGATGAGAGGAGGAGTCTAGCACTCAGGCGGAGCTTGCGTTGGAAGGATCTCAAGGAAGTGCAAAGCCCTGTTTGACGGGCACGACTGAGGGAGGCTTCCTCTTGCAGGTGCAGAACCCTAGAAGCCGAACCCCCTGCAAAGACTGCAGCACGCCAGCTGGGTTCGCAGAGCGTTCTCTGCTGGTTCTTTCAAGGAGCTTTGGACCGAATCCCCACAACGCTTGGAGGAAATGTCAGGGAGGCTGTTCTGTTTCTAGGGCCTTCTAAGCTGATCCGTTTCTCTTGGCCTTTGTAACAGGCTCTCCGCTGAACGTCTGCCGCTGAGAGCATCTCATTGCAGGGTGAAAACTTAGAACTGGAGGCTGAACGTCCGGCCTGTTCGATGTGTTCGGTGCCGGGACGACTGTGAGGATCTAACCTACTGGCAGTGGAGGGGAGAACCACAGATGTGTTGGCAGATGTTAGCCGGCAAGGGCCATTCTGACGAGATTGCATTTTGTCCGAGTCTTGTCCTTTGGGGGTGTTCAGGCTCTGATGGAGGCAATGCGGCTGCAGTCTTAGTCTGTGGATGTCATGGGTTCTTCATGCTTGGCCTGCATGTCGCTGCACATTTCCCGCTTATTTCCCCCTTGAGATCCAACATGTTCGATGTCTGGACCCGAGCATCATTCTGAGCAAGGCTTGTCGTCGGGTAGTTGCCACCCAATATGTCGAAGGTTCCAGTACCTGTACGCTCCGCATGCTATCCCAACTCCATTCTTTCGACTTGCATGAAACATGTCCGCCTATGTCGAAATAGAACCGCATATGGGCCATGTCCTTGTGGTTTTGCCTGCACACAACGGACAGCAGAGCTGTGCAGCTATCACCCAGCCTGGAGCGTGAGGTCCCCACAACCAAGTCCTGGCTTTCGCATCCTGTAGCTGCACGACCCACTCCTTCCAGAGAGCTTCTACAACACTTTCAGATGAACCAACCATGCATGCCACTCACGCACCAGCAGCCGCCTTGTAATTGTCGTTATCAAGAAACCGACATGCGCGTCGATAAGCACATTTAATGGTCCTGCACTGCAGCGCACCTTCTTGTCGCTCGCAGATACAGCAAGCATGAGACCCGTGCATTTCATCATCTGCACTTCGATGGTTCCTGCTCGGACATTGCAAGGCTTGGGCGCAGGAGTGTTCCCACGGAAGCCCCAGAGCACACATGACACTTCTTGCCACCTTTGGTCGCCAAAGCGAGGTGTTTCCTCGACTGTTTCGCACATGTTCCTTGGCTATCGGTGCAGTACAATTGAGGGCCAGAAACCATCAAAGTCAGACACCCTCTGAAAAACGATGGCGGCGAATCGCACTGAAGTGTGCTGAGGTCAGCTCTTGATGTCAGCAGGCAAGGGCTTTTGCTTCCTCCCATTGTCTGTACCTCACATCTCCAGCAGTGTCTGTTCGCAGAGTCAATAATTCATGTCTTCACCCCTCTTCGCTTCAACACTTGCAAGGAGAGTCGCCACGGTAGTTCTCCGGGATGACGCCCGTTACCTTGAACGATCTTAAGCCAATCGGGTGGGGATAAGATCACCAAAACTCCCTGCCTGTAGATTCATTTCCGTCTTCAAGAAGCGGACGCAGCGCCTTCGAATACATCCGATGTGCCCGATAATTATTGAATCAATTGGTAGAAGCCAGCTCTAGGCTTGTGATCGTCTCTGGAATATTTGAGCAGGATTTGAGAGATATTTGTAACAGCTACAGACAACTCTGCGAGAAATGTTAGAGAACTTTGCGAGCAAATAGAAAGAACATAGCCACTTGTTTAAGTCAGATTTGCACGAATTTTGAGAGAACCAAAGACAAACACCGTTAAGTGTCGGAGTAAGTGAGCAATACAGGGTTTCTAGGCAATCCGGTTCTGATTCATTTCAATACAAAATCCAGCGGTTGATCTGAAAAGGTATCGGACATCTATTGGTTCATCCTAGATTCAATACGACTTCGCGCTAAGTTCTCAATAAGTTCTCGCTGATTTCGCGCTAATTTCTCGCTGATTTGTCATAAATTTCTGACTAACTTCTCGCTAATTCCTCGCTAATTTCGCGCTGATTTCTCACTAGCCCCCTTACTGAAGTTGATAGGGACTCACAGATAGCTCGCAACATAATCACTATAGAAACCACAAACGAAACAAGCTACATCACTCATCAACTCGCAAACTAACCGCCAAGAAACCACCAAATCATGATTTGGTAGTGCCCTCAGTATTTACACGGTTGTAGGCCTGACTCCTTCCCATTGAAACATCTCTGGCTGCTCCAACTTCATGACCTGCCGGACTTTCTTTTGCAAAACGGTTGTGCAGACTTGCTGCACTACCTTGCTTCCGTAGAAATGGCCAACGTTCAGGAAGTTCACGACTACTTTGTTCCTTAGCCAAAATCTCCTTGAAGTGATAGCGCAGCTCAGCAACATATCTCTCTAAGTCTGAAGCATATTCCATGCCCGACCAAAGCAATCTAGATGCTGCCTCGGCCAACGTCAGGCGACTGGCCAACGAGATCCATACGGGCAGACGAGCAGCCAATGTGCAATGCTGGTGGTTGCAAAAAGCTCAGACTACGGCTCACTCCCAGCATGCCTTGACTCCGGCGCCCAATCATGCCTCTCATGATGACAGCACTCGTAGCATCAGCAAGCCCGGCGCAAACATCAACGGCCTTGTCCTAGTTTTGCTCTTCTTTGCTTGGCTGGCTTCTTGATGCGAAACCTCACAGCTGTTGAAGCAGAGATGACAATGTCGACGGTTTGTCGAGAACGCCTGCACTCCCTGGCGCTGATGTCGGGCCTTCCAGAGAACCGCAAGTTGCCGACGGATACTCTCAACATCTCTCAAGCGGCTCGGGCCTGAGAGTTCGCCCAAGGCACCGTCGTGGTACCAGGGCGATTGAAGTGCGTCTTCTCCGCTTCTGGGTGGCCCGTCTTTGCGGCCTTTGCGGCCCGGGCACAAGCGGCCTCTTTTGGATTCCTGCAAGCGAAGCGAAGCAGAGCAGAGCTCGTTGCACTTGACACTCCCACTTGCTGCATGCTTGTGTGACTCTCTGACAGTCTACGCTCTCGTCCTGAAGGAAGGCGGGTCAGGAATAACCTCACACACTATTATCTCATGCTCGTTCTGTATCTGCGCCCGCTTTCCGGCAGATTGGCCTCGTGTCCTTTCCGCTTCTTCGACTTTGCGGCTTTGTTGCGATTGGATGCCACCTGCAGTGAACCACCGAACTGTTTAATGCGTGTTGTCACACATGGTACTTTTGGTTCGGCTTTGAAAGTCTGTCTGTTCATCCTGAATTTTCCCATTGGTGCTGCCTCGTAGTCTACAGCATGTTCCCATTTGCATTGACCCATTTAGCTTCCAGATACTGCGGCTCAAACAATCTCCGCACCTCAAAGAAACGAAAGAGATGCGAGGAATGTAGCGAAAGTTTAACTCAATTAAAACAACACAGCAAACCACCCATATGATCTGCAATCGCATTCTGGCTCTGTCTGTCCATTTTTCCACAAAACCAAAAACATGTTGACGGAGGTGCGCGGTGCCATCAGAATCCTTCCGTAGAGGCTCATAGGGTTCAAAGAGTTGTGATCCCTGCAACAGGCACCAAACACAGCAGGCGATACTCCTCTCGTGCTCTTGCATTGGCGACAGAAGCTCGCAACTCGAATGATGCTAGGGAGAATGTACACTTGCCCCGGTGTCTGATCTTCCTCGTCGCTCAGCCTGTATCAATAACCATGAAGACAGAAAAACCATGCGGCTTCATGATGTAGGAACGGAATGAAGAAACTATCAAGTTCTCTTTATTCATTCCAACTTCGTTTCGAACATACACGCGGGGCACAGCAGGAATGCTGAATCTAAATCAGAGCCACAAGACATCTGCTGTTTGTGCGAACCCTTTTGCTGGGAGCAATACATCAACTTAAACAGTGCATGCGCTCTGTTTTGTGTTTTGAATATGTTCGCCAATCATCGAACACATCCAACAATCCAATGAATGCTGTAGAATCCTTGGATTTTCATCTTTTGGAATGTTGGGAGTCCTATGCTTCTGTTCAAAGTTTGCACAGAGAGAGAGAGAGAGAGAGAGAGAGAAAAAAATAGAGAGAGAGAGAAAAAGAAAGAGAGATAAAAAGAAAGAAAGAGAGAGAGAGAGAGAGAGCGAGAGAGAAAGAGAGAGAGAGAGAGACAGACAGAGACAGACAGAGAGAGATCGAGAGGTCATGCCTCTCCAGGGGACTGCAACTTGTGTCGTCTCCGCCCCCAGAAAAGGGTTACGACGCAAACCGCAAACGGTGCGAAGAGCTCCGAAAACGTCATGGCCCAATGCACGGCAGATGCGAAGCAACAGCAACAGGCAGAGTCTTAAAGCCGTCGCCTGCTAACATGCTGAGGGCGGTAGATGTGATAGATTGAAAGAGAACATCGCCACCCCAGGTCAGAATACGTTCAACTTGCTTGTGTCGTTGTAGTGGGTACGATCATCCTGGCGACCTTTCGGGAGCCGCCAGCTGTCTCAGCAAGACCCACGAAGCGAGAGCACCGATGCCGCGACGAATGAAGGCGGGGAGCACCAACGCTACAACTCGGAGAAGCGCACTGCAAAATCTGTAAAGAAAGAGGAAAGAAAAGGGCACCAACGCTGCAACCCAGAAGAAAGGAGTGCTGGGTCGGGGAGCACCACCGCTACAACTCTGCACGTGGCACGTGGGATTCACTTGCGACGATTGTACCAACCACTCGAAGCCTTTCCAGTTCCAATTGCTGCCAACCAGTCTACCCCAAGATCTAAGATGTAGATGTCGTCCTAACCAGGTGCACCAACCAGGAGCCGCCAGCTGTCTCAGCAAGACACAAGCCGGGCTTCTCACAGAGGGACGAAGATGTCGTTCAAACCCCACGTGTCTTTTTGGTGGGCTGGGGATGGACAACCAGCTGCCATCATCACCCTCGCCGGCAGCGCACTCCCAACAAAGAATAAAGTTAGGGAAACAGGAGGCCGCGTGAGTTTCCATAAAGTCCAACATATCCTTTTTGTCTGCGATTGCTAGCGTCCACAGCCAACATCTTGAAACTTCTCAAACTTCCTACAAGTAGGCTTTGTTTTGGTGTTCTTCTGAAATCCAAAAATGCGATGCTCTCAACCGACACCAGCAAATCCAAGTCTTCTTCGAGAATCTCTGGACTTTGTTAGGCAAGAGTCCGAGACCAATATCACCCATCTATTCACTCACTCACTCATTCGTTCATTCATTCAGCAAAGTCAGTCAGTCAGTCAGTCCGTCCGTCAGACAGTCAGCCAGTCAGTCTTTCATTCATTCGCTCATTCATTCACTTATTCATTCAGTCAGCCAGCCAGCCAGCCAGCCAGCCAGTCAGTCAGTCAGTCACTCACTCACTCATTCGTTCATTCGTTTATTCATTCATTCATTCATTCACTCGGTCATTCATTCAGTCAGTCAGTCATTCAATCCGCCAGTCATTCATCCATTCACAAAACTCATTGATTCATTCATTCATTCATTCATTCGTTCATCCATTCAGTTTTGTGCTTTCGGGCTTGGCGGGTGTTGCAAGAACCCCTTCTGCAAAATGCGAAATCCTGACGGATTCCCCCTGAATCGAACTGAAAATCACCGAATTTGGAGATGTGCACCCTTGGGGCGGTTTTGGTTTTCGTCTTTATATCCCTAAAGTCTGGGGTGCTGGCCATTGTTCCACAGGCTTCGTCGCAGTAGTTCGGATTCAAAAATTTAGGCTTTGGCGTTGGGCGGGAAGAGGTGGTTGTTGGTAGGTAAGTCGGTCGGTCGGTCGGTCGGCAGATTCTGCCATGAAGGTCCGCTTGTAGAGTTGCTACTGCTGCCAACATAACCACATAGCACGAACGATAATCTGCTCTCTTGCTGCAAAGACTCTGATGTCATGCTTTGGGAATTGCATGCCGCGGCGGCAGCAACTTCCTGACAACTGTATCAATTAGGCTCGATGCACCACACGACTCCAAAGCCGCTCAAGCTCCAGTAAGCCGTGAACCTTCGCGACTCGAGGTGGCGCGCCTTTGCAAGGCTTCATCGCCTCGCAGCACTTGCGACTGGCGACAATGGCCTCGCATTCTCCGCAGTTTAGACCCCAAAGAGACCTGCCTGTGAGCTCGCATGGTTCGCTTCCGCAGCCTTCCACGGATGCGCAGGCTTTGGCCGCACCTGACACGGAGGCCAACGAGCAGACCAAGGCCCCACAAGGTCTCAAGCTACGAGAACTATGCTCTTTGTGGGGTCAGCATCCTGTCAACCAAGTAGTTGGAAGGCCCTGCCAAGCTTGCCAACTCTGCTGCGGCAAGTGGCCTCTTGCGCATTTTGCGCACGTGGCCGTGCCAAAGTCTTCGGCTTGGCTTTCAGAAGCATCTGGCAGCCGTTCAGAGCTGTGCTCTGCAAGCATTCGGCACAGACACCCGCCTGGGGCTGCTCAGCGGCGATCGGTTCAGTCGATTCATGTTCTAGATCCTTCATTCCATCGCGCGGGGAAGAAAACCTCATCCTGCTTCCGATGGCAAGCTCATGCTCCTCCTCTTCGTCTTCCTCCTCCTCATCGCTTATGTCATAGCTCTCCAGAGACTGGCCAGCTGCCTGACTAGAATTGACTTGCAAGGCTTCAATTCATTTTCCGCTATCGACGCCTGGGGTTGGTCCAACCTCGCTGCCATGTTGGCACCTGCCTGGTCCTTGGTCAGATTCAACGATTCCGGTTCATCGCGTCTGGCCGCTCCCCATCCGATTCCCTGTTGTTTGTTTGCCACGGTACATTCACTGGTCTCTGGACGGCCGGGGTTGCCAGGAGCACCTCCTCCTGAACCTGCAGAAGGGGAAAGAAACGCTGCAGACGTGGGAAGTCTCGTGTAGCCAGCATCCTGTGCCTCAAAGGGAGGGCGGCTGGCGGAGGATGCGGCCGGACTGGAACCTGAATCACATGTGGGTGGCGCAGCAAACCTTTCTTTCGTGGTACAGTACTTGAAGCCCTTCCAGCACTAGCTGCAACAGACGGCCGACGAGAAGACAAAAAAATAGAACCAAAGAAACGAGCGACAAATGGTATGAACTGGAAACACCGAAGAAAACTATCGAGTAGCAACAGGAGGAGACTGCAACAAGGCCGTGAGAATCCACGAGGGAAGCAATGGTTTGAGGAAGGCCCGGGGCCAATGGTCGCTTCAGGCCCGGGCCGGTGAGAAGCTTCTGCATCTCGTCGTAGCCGTCGTAGCCATCATCGTCTCCCTGAAACTCAGCACAGGACATACCCGGCCGGAAGCTTCCACTGCTCGCCTCGTACTCTTCGTCCCACATCGTTTCCGAAATGTCTAACTAAAGATAAGGCTGCAATAGGCTGCATCTGCGAGAGAGCACGTTGCATTTTTTCGATATGATTGCATCTCGCTGGTTGCTGATTTGTGCTTGCGTCGACAGAACTTGCATGACAGCTGCGGGTCTTTGGCTCGCTATGACTCGATGCTTCCTTGCAGCGGCGGCACCGCCAGGTACTCCTCCGGTGGAAAGCAGAAAAAGACTAAACAAAAATCGCCGCGTCCCCCCATCCCCCCCCCCAGGCTCGGCCTCCGGGTCGATCGAAGTCTCAGCCTGGCGGCCCTGGCGGCCCTGGCCCGGCTCCTTCCACGGAAACCCCCCGCCGCGTTCGCTTCTTTTGGTGAATCTTTGCAGAGCACAGCCAAAGAGCACCGGGCCGCAGCTCGCAGCGCGCCTCGGAGCCTGAGCACCAACGCAAGCAGCTGTCCAGCGGCGCCTCATCGGAACAGGATACGATGCACTTCCGCGGCAATGAGACACGCAATAAAACGCGGCCAAGCCTGAAAGTACCTGCTGTAAATGCCCGCGAAGGTCCACAAGGACAAGAGGTAGATCATAAACACCTGCCGCACAAGCTCAACTATAAACCCCCCCTCCCAGACCTCGCATTCCAGACACTTCGCGCAGGAGGCCTCCATCTGGTCTGTCGGGAGGAAAAGGCTGACCACGTCATGCATCGGCCTCTGAAATATGTACACCTGCAAACGGAGCAGCTGGAGGATGCAGGATTCGCTGCTGCTGCCGCCTCAAAGCTAACCTCCCCAAGCGATACCAATGCCTGCAGCGGTGAACAAACTCGCAGAGCCCGAAGGCCGAAGGATCCGAAGGCACCGAGACCCAGTACTGGACGCAGCACGGATCCCCTCGCAAATGACGTGCAGCGCACGTGCGTCTTGTCCCCTAAGCAGTTTCCTCTCTTGTGATTCTGTCGGCGCCGCGCAAGTAATGCTAGCATCCTTTGCATATGTCGCCTTGTGAGCCGAATTGCCATCATGGCCCGTCTTGCGAGGTTCAGTTTCCCAATCAAATCCTGAGGGCGCGAATGCAAGGCGATTAGACCAACCAGGGCGTGACGTACCGGGCTCGGATCCTTTCGTAAGAGGTCGAAGTCAAATGTGCGGGCGTGCTGAGACAGGCGCAGGCACGGAACTTGCTTCTGTTCGACATGCCAAGCTGTTGAATGTTCCGCAGTTGAACTTTCACACAACGCGCCTGGCAAAGGGCGTGCAGGCAAGAAGGGCTTCGAGAGAGGGCAGGCGGTCCGGGCTTGGCAAGACTTAGGAAAGCAAAGAAAACATGCACAAGAAGACGGATAAGATGCCGCTTTATTGCTTCATGTTGTCTGAAGTCAGAGGCTGAGTGGAGAGCAGGATGGGCGAGAAGTCGAGCACAAAAGCCTGCAGAACAGCACCATTACTAGGGAGGTGCAGACCCATAGACTCTGAGGGCACGGCCTTCAGCTCCCCGCACGCACGAGCTCAGCAGGAATCCTGCCCGATTCTCTGCTCGTCGTGAGGAGTTCTTGGGGGCAGGAGCCTGCGATCGGCAGTGACAGGCCATGGTCCAGAAGAGGCTCCCAACCATTTAGATGGAGCACCTGACGCAGGCTGCTCACCAAAAGATCGAACAGAAGCGTGCCACACAGAGCCGCGTTCTCTGTTGATGCTGCCCTCGCAGCCAGAGGAGGCTTGGAATGGTTTGCGGGCGCTGGGTTGCAGACATAAGTACTGCGCGGTCTCGGCAATACCAAAACAACCTGCGGGGCGGTGAGGAAACCTGTTGAGAGTACCCAACGGGGCAACACAACGCACAGCAGAAAGCCGCGTTGCCAGCACGATGAAAAGAAAGCTGCTGTCTGCCAGTAGGTTCAGCCTACGAGCCACGACACCATGTCAGGATGAGAAAAGAACTGGGCACAGGTGTGTCAAGCCTACAAGGTCTCCAAGCACCTTCAGCCCCAGCACGTCGCACTCCAGCCTGGCTGCGAGGACGTGGTTGCGGCTTGCGTTTGCTTTCAGCAGACTCCCAACGAACGGCAGGAGAGCGGCAGCTGTCATTCCGATAGCAAAGTCGGCCATCTGCGCCGGCGGCCTCATGATCGAATGACAGCATCTCAGAGCTGAAAGGCTTCTTTCGGATCTTCTCCAACCCTCCCGGCGGCCGGCGGCCCCCCCCTGAAGGCCGCGTCGCTGCCGTCGTCCGGGCGTCCGGCCGACTCTGAGAGGAGATGAGGCGTAAAGCTTAGAGTGTTCCAGATTCAGAACAACGTCAGGTGGATCAGGGCGGTCGTGCAATGAGATCCCGGGTCACACTCCAAGCAAACTCACGTAAACCTTCTGCGTGCGTTTGTGCCTGAATCCTTGAATGAAACAGAATTGTTCATTATTCTTTCCGTTTCTCGCGAGTAGACGGATTACCAAACTGGGACCATGAACCGTCAGACAACTCATCTTCAGAAACATGAACTGGAAGCATCTGAGGTCAAAACCAGAACGACATGTCCGAGTGTTGCTGCCTGAGCGCGCAGGAGTGATTTCCACGCACGCTCGCGACACGCAAGACAAGACTCCCGATAGCAGTCGCAAGGCAGGGGACGGCACTGTGCTGTCGGTTTGAGAACGCAACATGTGTAAGCATGTGTGGGCCGAGTGCAACGAAGCCGTGAAGAGACCAGACAAGTCCAATCCTCAAGTTGTGACGACATGTGATCCGAAAACACGTGCCAAAGCCACCTCCTTTTGGGCAGCACTCCCCGCCACATTTACCCTTCCTCGGCCGCTTGCATTGTAAGTCATTGTAAGTGCATCAGCAGTTCTCACCGTGCCCCAACTTTACCGAGAGCTCGGGGTTGCAATGAGGTGCCGGAAGCACGAGGTAGGAGTGTATGGATTTTGGAATCTTGGTTGAAAGGTTGCAATATGTTGCAATGCAGTAGTGGTAGTGCATCAGACATCATCCACTGCAAGCAGAAAGACCCAGATGCTGAGGACTTATATAACGGGGTTCACGAGGCACGGTGGACAAAGACAGGCTCGAAAAACAAGTGAACGCAACGATACCATCCTTTATTGTCTTTTCTTTCCTAGACACATCCGATGCAGCATGAAGCAGTCCAAATCCGCCGACCCCTGTGGCGGGCGGCGCCAGTGATATCCCCAGAGGTGTGTTCGATGTCTGGGGAGTGTGTCAGAGAGTAAGCAAAAGTTGCTTGTTCGCACCGCTTTACCCACTGCTTTCACCACCCCCACCACCCTCACCGTTCTCATTTTCACCGCCCGTACCGCTGTGTTTGTAGGTGTTTAAAGAATATTTAAAGGCTGCCAATGTGTGCCCGGACCCCCCCCGCACCCACACCGCCCCCACCGCCTTCACCACCCGCACTACCCCTAGCACACCCACTACCCCACCCCACCCCCACTGCCCCGACTCGCCCAGACCGCCGCCACCGCCCCCGCCGCCCTCACCACCCCCACCACCCAGCCCCACCACCCCTACCGCTCTCAACCACTTGCCCACCGCCCCCACCGCCCCCCCCTCGCCACCACCACCCCCACCGGCTTCACTGCCCCAACCGCCCTCACCGCCGCCACCACCACTCGCCCACCGCCTTCACCGCATCATCTCCACCGCCGTCACCGCTATATTTGTAGGTGTTTATAGAGGAGTATGTAACACTCCACTGCCCTCACCGCTGTATTTGTAGGTGTTTAGAGAGTATTTAAAGGCTGCCAATGTGTGCCCGGACCCCCCCGCGCCCACACCGCCCCCACCGCTCCCACCGCCCCCACCGCCATCACCACCCCCACCACCCCACAGCCCCCATCGCCCCCAACGCCCACTACCACCACCCCCACCGCTCTCACCACTTCCACCGCCCTCACGCCCACCCCACCGCTCTCACCACCCCACTGCCGCTACCGCTCCACCACCGCCACCATCCCCACCATCGCTGTATGTGTATAGCCCGGACCGCCCCCACCGCCCCACCACCCCCCCACCGCCCCCACCGCCCTCACCACTCCCACCACCCCCAGCACCCCCACCACCTCCACCGCTCTCAACCACTCGCCCACCGCCCCCACCGCCCCCAGCGCCCTGATCACCACCACCCCCACAGATCTCACCACTTCCACCGCCCTCGGCTCCCCACCACCCACACCACTCTTACTGCCCTTGTAGTACTGTGGAGTTCGTTGTGTGTGTGTAGGTGTTTAGAGAGTATGTACCACCGCCCTTACCGCCGCCACCGCTCTCACTGCCGCTACCGCCCCACCACCACCACCACCATCCCCAGCACTTTCATTACCTCCACCGCCCTCACCGCTATATTTGTAGGTGTTTGGAGAGTATTTAAAAGGCTGCCAATGTGTGCCCGGACCCCCCCACGCCCACGCCGCCCCACCCACCGCTTTCTTACCTCCACCGCCCTCATCGCTGTATGTGTATGTGTTTCGAAACTTTTTGAAGGCTGCCAATGTGCCCCCCCGCGCCCACACCCCCCCACCGCCCCCACCGCCCCCACCGCCCCGACCGCCCTCACCACCCCCAGCACCCCCAGCATCCCGACCACTCCACCGCTCTCAACCACTCTCACAGCCCCCACCGCCCCCAGCGCCCTCGCCACCACCACCCCCACCGCCTTCACTACCCCCACCACCCTCACCACCGCCATCGCTGCCACCGCCCACACCATTCTTGTACTGCCCTTGTAGCCGCACCCCACCGCCCCCACCGCCCCCACCTCCTTCACGACCCCCATCACTTGCCCACTGCCTTCACTCCACCATCTCCACCGCCGGTACCGCTATATTTGTAGGTGTTTAGAGAGCATTTAAAGGCTGCCGATGTGTGCCGCTCCACTGCCCTCACTGCTGTATTACCGCCCCCACCGCCCCGACCGACCCACCGCCCCCACCATCACCGCCCACACCACTCTTCTTGTAGTGCCTCCACCGGCCTCCACCGCCCCCACCGCCATAACCACCCCCACCATCGTCACCATTCTTACCACCCTCACTGCCGTCACTGCCCCCACTGCTCTCACTACCCCCCACCGCCCTCACCGCCTCCACCACCCCCACCGCTCTCACCACCCCCACTGCCGCTACCGCTCAGCGCTTTCATTACCTCCACCACCCTCACCGCTGTATTTGTAGGTGTTTATAGAAAGTATTTAAAGGCTGCCAATGTGTGCCCGGATTTCCTGCGGCCCACACCGCCCCCACCCACCGCTTTCACTACCTCCACCGCTCTCATCGCTGTATTTGCATGTGTTTAGAGAGTATTTTAAGGCTGCCAATGTGTGCTCGAACCCTCCCGCGCCCACACCGCACCGCCTTCACCGCACCATCTCCACCGCCGTCACCGCTACATTTGTAGGTGTTTAGAGAGTATTTAAAGGCTGCCAATGTGTGCCACTCCACTGCCCTCACTACCGCCCCCACCGCCCCCACCGCCCCCAGCGCCCTCGCCACCACCACCCCCACTGCCTTCACTACCCTCACCGCCCCCACCGCTCGCACTTGTACCCCTCCTCCACCGCTCTCTTCTCCTCCACTGAGCGACCCTTTGCGAGCAAAAGCAACCACAAATTGTGGATTTGGTTTGTTCGCAACGAAGGGGGCGCACAACGTGTTCAATAGTAGTAACTACTCGTGGAAATGAAACACTGCACTCCAATGTTTGACGAAAAATCGCAGACAGAACAGTACAAGTCGCACTGTCCTGGCCTGCTTCTGTCGAAGCGTGGCGATGCTATAGCGGATGTGAATGAGAACGTTTTCAGCACTAGTGGCTGGACATCTCGCGGTGGCCGTATTTTGAGCTTCAAAACAGAAGAAGCAAGACTAATTACAACTTCTTGCCGACAGGGTACTAAATTACTAAATAAAGCGGCGAAGTGTCGAGACATCTGGAGAGGAAACACAACAGGGAGGCAACAGATATTGTAGAACAACGGGCCGCTTAAGGTCAATGTGCTCAGTGAGCCAGCACGTCCTCAACTTCCCCTACGCAGGCAGGAGTCTTCAGGCTTGGGATATTGCCTCCTTAACGAAAGCGCCCAAGACAGCCAAGTTGCATGGTAATCTGTCCGTGCAGAACCAGCAGAACAACTGCAGGGCCTGAGACTGCCATGGACCCACGTGTCTCTGGCAAAACGAGGCAAGGACACAAAACTGGGTATGAAGCCGAAGGAGATGAGCCAAAGGCACACCAACACTGCGAACAAGCCGGTGCCTTTCGATGCAGGCCACGACCAGGACGGATCTTTCGGACAGCTTCTTGTATCTTCTTGGCTACTGTATTCCCTCACGGGACTTCTGACGTGTTCTGACTTTTGGCGGCCTCCGTATTTCTCCTCTGCCGTGAACAGAAGTTTTCGCGTCATGGGATACCTGCATGGAGTGGCAGAGACCGACATGTCAATCTGGTCTGGGCAACAGCCGTGGCATGAGCGCACAGGATCCAAGACGGCAGCAGAACGAAGACAAACCAAGAAGGACCGTTGGGGCACCTCAGCTGCAGCCTGCACCAATCTTGAGCTGGAGCTGCAGGAATAAGCGCAGCACCACTGAAACCACTGCTCCAAGAAGACGGCACATCGAAGAAGGTACGGGAAGGAAAGATCCGCACCATCGCGATACAGTAGATATGCCGCCCAGACCAATGCAATCCAGAAAGTGACAATTACCCTGCCAAGCCGGCGTACATAGAACCGCAGCAAGTCGCTCCACGCTGTAAATTCTTTTGAACCATAGGCCCAGTGAGTTACGAAGCCACTGGCCACAACGAAGAAGCACACTGCTACGTTCACGCGGAAGATCGCACCATTGAAAGATGCCTCGGATTTCCTTGGCAGGTAGTGGGCGCAAACAATCCAGAAAGCTGCGAGACTTCGAGCTCCAGATAGATGGACAAAGGCTTCTCTGCGTTGCTCAGGCTTGGTTGGTCTCATCGGCTAAGTCGCCGCGCCCATGTGAAGTCATGTCCGGCCTGCACTGGCCATGGCTCTTGTCTGCAACTTGAACCGGTCCTCAACCACGGTGGGGAGTCGGCACTGGTGGCGGACCTGCTGACAGAACTTCAAGCTTCATTTTGTTCCGGCCACGCTTCACGTAGCCAGACACGGCCATCGAGGGGCGGCTCCGTGCTTGAGACACGGAGGTTCTATACTTCTGGAGACGTCATGCACCCTTTGGGTGTGAAGCTCCAGGATCATTACCTATGGGCTCTGTGCTCAACAAAGAGTGCCATTGCTCTCAGCAGGGAGGTCTAAGTCTAAGTTCAGTAAAGTAGCAGATTGGTGAGAGCACAGATGCAGATGTGCTTCTGGCCGATACACGACATCGTTCCAACACAACCTTGCCCGCACGGGCGATGACTGGAACCCTCCTGCAAGGCTCAGTGCTTTACGCTTTGTCGTCCCCCAAGCGAAGCACCTTGCTCCTTTCCGAAGGGGTCACGATTGCTGTAGATGGCACACTCACAGAACTTGAGGTGAATTCGCTGTGTCCTTGCCGGTTCCCTTGCCGAAGAAGAGCCACCTGGTCGGGGTCGGGATGTGGTTCCAAAGACCATATCGCACGGCAACGCACCGCACCGCCCTGCGCACCGCGCGGCCTCATGAAGGACACCGGCTTCTCTCGCTTCCGCCGCTTTCGAGCCCGGGGCGGGGGTTCCTCGAAACTCTGGAAGCCGCTGTAGAGGCCGCGGCCGCTGCCTGAGCTGCCTGGCCCTGGACTGCGGTCAAAGCTCCGCGAGTCGTCGGCACTTTCCCGCGCGTTGCTGCGCAGGCTTCGGTTGCTGAGGGAGCTCTGGAAGCTGGGGCGCCGCGGAATGGGCAGGCTCAAGGACTCCAACTGCCTCGAAGCACCGGCCTCACTGCGAGCAGTCAACGCTTGGAGGAGCTTCAGAATCTCGGACCCGGACCAGCACGGACTCGACTCCTTGGCTGGCCAGACGCTTTCCCACAGCACCGACAAGAGCCATGAAAGCCCCACCTTGCGGCACGCCGGGCATGTCGGTGTCTCGAGTCTCCTCTGCGTCCTCCAAGATCTTCATGGACTTTGAGGGTGTTCCAACGCAAACGCGCGCTAGCTGCTAGCACATCTCCTTCTCTGGCTCCACCGGCTGCGGAGTCTCCGGAACTTCGCCTGCTGTTGAGCAACAGACTCTCCACTGAAGAGCATGACGTGAATCAGAAGAGACTGCCGCCCCACAGTGTCACAGCCCATTTTGCCCTTGCCCCTTTCCACCGCGCAATGCGCCAGTGCCACACGAATTTCCGCAACGTCCGAGCTCTAAACTTTGCTACCCTTTCTTCGACGTCCTTGGGTTGCTGGTCTTCGAGACGGTTTGTGCAGAAGGACAACTGTCGGTAGAAGTCTCCTCTTGAGGAGACATAATGCCAGTGACAAGTCTCATCGGTTCGCGTCGTCAAACCACCAACTCGCGTGGCAAAGCCCTGAAGACCTTCAAGGATGCAGCGTATAGGCAGGCAAGAATTAAAGTGGCAGACGCGGAACAAGGAGCATCATGGAATTCCCGGATCAAAGCTTCGTCCGACACGTTGGAGCACAGTCACTTTGAACAAATCACCTTGAATCCTCAGCATCGACACGTTCCCATTCCAAAAGCATCCACACCAAGCCTGGACAGCAGAGTGAAAAAAATGAACCTTTTCGAGGAAAGGTTCAAAATCTTGACCCGTACCCGAAGTGAACCAAACTCATGCGGGCCAAAGACGAAACAAAAACAATGGCAATGACACATTGGTTTGCGATGCCGCGCCTGAACCCTTTGCCTCCTTTGAAGGAGTCGCAGTTGCTGCGATCTCAATGCACGTAAACTACACACCCAGGCATCGAAGCTCCTTTGCTGACCACAATTAAGCGCCGAACAAGAGCAGTCAACCGGGCTTGGAGCTCGCGGCCAAGTTCCACGCGCATCTGCACAAGAGGCAAGAAAATTGCGCGTGTTACATACATACAGAAGGTACTTCCATCTTACGCTCACACTGTTTCCTCGAGACTTCTGTCAAAAGTGAATGCTCCATGCACTCGACGCTCCATCCGCTAAAGAGCCCTGCCCTGACGGCAGGGACCAAGAGCAAAATCGTTCCACAGGTTGTGCAGAACCTCAATTTACTTGCTGCTGTCTCACTGCGTCCTCCTCAACACCTTGCACAGCAGTTTCATGTCAACGGAAAGCAAACGGTGTAGATAACAAACATACCCCGCAGGAATCCTCAGGACCCGTTTCAAGGAAGGCTCGTCTGAACTCCGAAAACGGAGCACGTCGGAGGGCCGAAACGATCCTGGCTGCGTAGGGCCCGAGCGACTCCCGGAATCAACGTCGGGGTGGGGGGGGGGGTGTTAATTTTCCTCGCCACTCAACAATATTGGGCCCTAGGCCGCTCTTGTACGAAGCAAAGCGAAGCAAGCAAATTCTGCATCAAGTTGCTTGCGCACGGCACTTTTCCCCCTAATGTGAGTGGATATATCACCTCAGTACCTGTGTCGATCACTCTGCGATGGCTTCCTGCGCTTTCTGAAACAAAGTGTAGTTCGTGAACGTCCCGGCTTGTCGAGGTCGCCAGGGTGAAACCTGTAAGAATCGTTTCAGGAGCGGCCTAGGGCACCGTCCGGAAGACTCAACAGGCCAAGTCCGGTCGTCTCTGCCGACTGCATGGCCCTGCGGCTTCGCCCTCTACTGCAGTAGTCGCGGCGTCCGTTCGGCGCTTCCGAATGCTCGAAGCTTCGAAGCTCCGGCGTAATGTGCACACTCCTGTGGTTCCCTCAAGCTTCACGAAACCAAACACTACACTCGAGAAGCCTTTCAGGCATCAGCAGCATCCTATTACAGGTAAGTCTCTGATTAAACTCGCTCAAAGCACGAATCGGTGCGCATCTCCCTTCCCTTGCCTCCTTGAGGAGGACCTTGGGAATGCTTTTTGCCTTAGTCACGACTGGAAGCCGCCGCAAAAGGGCGCCGCAAAAGGACTGCCACGGGGCCCGGGGGCCCGGCCTCGTGCACGCCCCGCACCTCTCGGACTCGGCTCTCGTCGGGAGCGCTGTCGGCACACGGCCAAGCACCGGACGTAAACCACGCAGCAGTCGGGGCTTGCTGCTACGGCCTCAATGAAACCACTTCCGTGTCTTCTGCCCCGAAAAGAGAACACCTTGACAGGCTCCGGGGCTCTGGCCGAGAAAGGTTCGGGCGCACCCCAGATTGGGAAAAAACTCAGCGAGCAGAACCTTGATCAACCAATCACGACGGCTGGATGTGCCCTACCTGTTCGTTTAACAGTGCTGCAAACTCAGGTGGCAAGCGAGTACATTGACTCTTCGCTGCTGCTATTGCGATGTCATAGTTCCAGAGCCAATAACACACCAGCAACTTAGCAGCATCTGGATTGTTCCAAGATATTCCAACATAAAACTGCTTGCTTGCTGCACAAACCCTTCTGGGGAACGAACTCAGGAGTTCGTTCAGAAATGAATTGAAAGGCACCGGAAACCCTGATGCTCGCAACAGCCTACAGCTGCGTCTTCAAATCCTTCCTTAGTCTAGAGTCTAAGATTGAACGCGACCTCAAGTTCGGCTGGTGTTAAAAGATGTTAAAAGTCTAATGGCAACGAATCTCGAATGCAGACGCGGCTTCGATCTGCAGCACTCAAACGCACATGTTTTGCTGGACGGCACTCACAGCTGAAAGAACTACGACTCAAGGGATCCGCTGAATGGCAGCGCCACGTGAGAGAGTGAACACCAAGCACTAAGGCGCAAGAAGACTGAAATTCACACTGGTAAAAACTTTCTTTTGGTGTTCGCTTTCCTCTCGAAGTTGTACATATGGGCTGCTCATCCACTCTTTGAACTGATCACGCAGGGACGTGGAGTGCTTTGTCAGCACATCTGCGAACATAAGTTCGCTCGGCACCCAGTGCACTTGACTCGGGCTGATATAATCCTGAATTGACCTGATCGAGATCAACGTCCTCTTCTCTTCCAGAGAAGGGTTCTCGCAGATCACAGCGTCGAACAGAGACTTGCAGTCGGTCACCTGCAGCTGTTTCAGTAGTCCTTTGTCAAGTGGTGTGCTGAGGTCGGGCTTCTTGAGGAACTCAGACAGGAAGACGTTGAGGAAGGTTGCTCTGTCCACGCCATCGTCCATGGCGTTTGCCTCGCTCGCCAAAGTTGACCTCGTCACACGTGGGCTTCGAGAACTGCGCCAGTCAAGCACTGTGGCCTTTGCCACATTGTCCTGGCACTCGGGGCCAGTGATGACCACTATCACGCCCATCTGGCTCTTTCCACCTGGAGCATTAGCCCAAGACGAGTCAGCGTAGCACACGACTGTCGTGGCGTAGTTGATCGCCACGCCCTGAAAGACTAGGCCATGGTCAGGGCTGCCCTTCACGTAGTCGATGCACTCGTAGAGGACCTTAAGCTGACAGGGGCTGTTAGCCTGGCCGTGGTTGCTCAGCGACACAGTGGCCCCAATGTCGGGCCTGGTACTTCCAGCGAGCCACTGGAGGCTGCCAGCACAGCTGCGGTACTCCTTGAGCTCGTCTGGTGTCAGAGGCGAAGTCTCGGTCGCGCGTCCTCGCTTAAGTTTTCCAGCCACAAGTTCACTTATGAAGGCCTTTTGCGTGACATGGATCACGAACTCACCGTTCACTTCCTTGAGGCTCACCTCCTTGCCCTTGAAGACGAAGTCGCCATCGTCCAGGAGGTTGGTCTGTCCCCAGGTGAACATGTTCTGCAGCTCGCTGAACTGGTAGTCCTCGCGAAATGCCACCAAAAAGTCGTCCACGTGGAACAACAGGACGATCAACAACTCCAAGTTTTCGTCGAGCTTGTAGTAGACGGTGTGGTCGAGGCGGTGTCTCAGAAACTTGGCGTCGCGCAACTTCCGAACAATGTGGTTGATCCAGGTCCGAGGAGCGTTGCACAAACCGTAAAGGTTCCCAATCACCTGGTACAGGTCGAAAGGGAATGTGCCAGCCATTGCCTGGATTCCATCGCGTGGTGGCCTCATGAAGATAGGGAGGTCCCTTTCTTCGGGTTGGCCCTGTAGGAAAGCCGTTGCCACGTCGCCAGACCAAAGTTTCCAAGCCTTCTTGTTCTTCAAGAACCGTCTGTTGTATCCAGAGCACGCGATCTCATAGATCAGCAGCTCTGCGAGGCGAGTCGGTGTTGGGCTCGAACGGTCCAGCAATCCCAGATCGGGATCGTGACATCCCTGGATCACTGTGCGACATTTAGCACGAACGTCCGGGCCAGCACCCCGGTTCTTATCCCGATAAGCATTTCGGGATGGCATCACCCGCTTCCTCAAGATAGGATCGCTGAGGATTTTCTGAGCCTCGGCCCTGGTGAGTGCCTTGATGGAGTTCCACGACATCCAGGAGTCATACTCCTTCTTGTTAGCCTTCACATAGAGGCTGATGACATCTGTGGGGTAATCCTTGAGCAGAGTCCTCCATGGAATCTCGCGGTCGATGGCCTTGCGCTCCTGGCGCGTGAGCTCAGAAACTCCCGGCTCAGCCTCATCATTGGACGAGTCTGAAGAGACCTCGGTGTCCTCCAGCTTAGCGGCACAGCATCTGAAGGCGGTGCACGGAGAATGCAACCTGTAGTCTGGTGACCCGTCCCAGCCGTCCTCGAGTTTGTAGACCTCGTAGAGCTCATCCAGGACGAAGTGGGTCAGCAGCACAGAGTGTGTCTCTGAGGCCTTCTTCTTCTTCTTCTTAGCTTGTAGTGTCGCATGTGGCCTTTTGGCAGGTAGCTGTGGCGCCGGCCCGTCATCAACAATGGTGGTTGGAGGCGGTGCCGTAGCTTCAGTTCCAAGAGTCGTGGCGTCAGGCACGGTAGTTGTTGCGCCTGCGTTGTGCTCGTCTTCAAGAGGAGCCTCGCCATACTCTGCAGATCCCAAAACGTCAGCAGAAAAAGGAAAGTCTGGTGAAAACGGAAACTCAGAGGGAACTGGAGTTTGAGGTAGTGGAGAAGGTACTGGTGGTAGTTGAGAAGGTTCTGGCTCTGGCGGTGTGCCCGGCACTGACTGCTGTCTCCCCGCAGAAGGTTGTGCAGCACCCTGGTCAGCAAGTTGGCCTTGTCGAAGTGAGGCACGCCTTCGAGGTGTCTGTGGTGGTCGTGGTGTAGAAGGTTGACTCGGAGTGGGAGGTAGTAGCTGAGGTGTTCGTGGTGCGTTTTGCACCTGTCCTCTCGACCTTGATCGCGCACGACCTGGCCGAGCTTCGGGTCCATCGCCCAGTTGCCAGAAATTTTGCTGCTGGTACCTTGGCGAGAACACATTGATGTTCTGTGCGGCACGGTCTTGTTCAGGTGGTACGTTTTCAAGAGCACCAGAAGGAAGAGCAGGGGCACCCTGTTGTTGAAGCGGAACAGGTTGTTGAAGCCCGGGGCGATCATGAGCAGGTGCTGGTAGTTGATAACGTTGTTCTTCGGCACCATCATCACGAAGCGGTCCGGCTTCATCGTCATCATTTCCAGCAGCAGCAAGGGGCTCATGTACAACGGGTTCGAGAGGTTCTCCAGGAGGTGGTCCTTGCTCGCGGGCGTCATCCCAGAGGCCGTCTCTAAGAAGCTTGTCGCCCTGTTTCAGCATCTTGACATCCTCCGCGCTCGGTGTCCACGTTTCTATCCCAATGGCTGGTCTCAGCTGCTCGTGCGTCACCTGCACTAAGGAACCGCCGCTCTGAACCCAAGCGTTCTTCTCATCCTTCACCACCAAGCGGCCAAGGATGTAGCCGCCTCTCTTCCGCCCTCTGGCCTTAAGGTTCCAGCGCCAGTATGCCACGAGAGAGCCTGGCAACAGCTGGTCGACTCTGGCTCTGGAGGTTGCTGTCTTCCGTAGCAAGGCCCGTCTAATGACAGAAGAGGCGGACATTTCATTGACAGCCTGGCACGCTTGAGTCCGCAGTTGTTCCGTGAGCATGTGATAGTCGGAGGTGGCTAGAGCGGCACTATCCGAGAAAAGGTCGCCCGGATACCTCGGCAGCTTGCCAAAGACTGCCTGTGTGCTGCTCCGACCACGTGTGTGGATGCTGTTGTTCACAGCCCAGATCGCAGCACTCATGCAGAGATCAAGTTGGTCTTTATTGTGCACGGCGTTCTGGTCAATGAGCCGTTCCACCACTGACCGAAACACAGCATTCTTTCGCTCGATGGCACCTATTTGGTGATGCCCGTCTGCCGGCACTACAGTGAAGACTGTGCCGGACTCCTGCATGTGTTGCTGAAACACACCCTCAAAAGCACCGTCGGCGTCCACACTCATGAAAAGAGGGTACCCGAAGGGGCGCAACCACAACCTATCGAACTCATTCAGCACGATCTGAGGGTCACGCGAAGCAAGAAGAGCAGCCTGGTAGAATTTGGTCGCCAAGCAAGTCACGCCTAGCACCGGGTGGTTCGCAGCAGACAGGTCACGAATGTAGAACAGATCTGCCTGCAACTGCTCAGCAAACTGTCCGACAAACTCTGGTACAGAGGCAGGTCGTGGCTTCAAAGGCAACCTAGCTCTCTCACAGGTACCGCACTTGAGATGGTCCAAGGCAGCCAACACAGCGCTGTTTATCGAGCCATGTGCAGCAAGGAGGCGGATTGTCTCCTGTTTCGAGGGGTGGCCGGCGTTGCAATGGAGCCGGGCCACTGCTGCACGAACTTCTTTAGGAATGCTCTCAGGTATTCCAGGAAAACTCACATCAGTCCTGAGACCGGGAACATGTGCCATGGGGTCGTTGCTGCTTTTGCTCTGCTCTTTGTCGTCCTCAGCCATGCCATAGAAGAAGATCGCCACACGCACCGGGGTGTCGAACTTGAGCCGCGGCTGCCTGATCTCATTGAGGTCCTCGCTTTCTATTTGCAGTTTGCCTGTGCTTAGAAGAAGCAAGGCGGCGCCGCGATGGGTGAACGGCACATCGGTGGGCACCCGTCTCGTCATGGGCTTGCTGTAGACCTGAGCACGTGTGATCTCCCATGGCACCAGCTGCTTAAGTGCATTCATCTCCTTGGAAGCCTCGGTGAGGTAGAAGTATCTGCTTTTGCCCAGCCGCTTTTCAGCGGCTTCCAGAAGTTCCATCCACTTCTCTGGCTCGTCCAAGGGCGGTGCATACCACACATCATAAGGCGGGGGATCGAATTTCCACGGCCACCGCAACGCAACCTCAGCCCGGATGGCTTCCAAAATGGTGCCGCCCATGTCGGTATTGTGACGCTGGGTCCGGGCAGCCTGTATGAGGCAGCGGCTGTTGGTCACGAAGCAATGTGCTCCATGGTTTCCGTCCGAGCTGTCCTTAAAGATCACCTCGGTGGCGCCGACAAGGTTGGTAATGTTCGGCATGGCGCCCGTGTGGTCCTCAAGCACCTTGTTGTCGAAGTCGATGATGAACAGGCGGCTGCCCTCCACTTGTAGCTCGCAGCACTTTTGCACCGCCTGTTTGGCAATCGCACTGAGCCTTTGCATGTTGTGCACCACGAGCACATAGGGCTTCACCTGTGCACACATCTCGCTCAGCATCCCACTGTCCTCGAAGAGGTCCTTCTGGTCGAAGTTAACGAAGGAAAGGTCATAGTCCCCGGCCCGGTTTGCCAGGTTATATTCCATGCCAGTCCTAGCGAAGCGGTCTTCCCAAAAGGATTCGAGGAGGTCGGCACCGCAATGTGCCGCATAGTCGCCCGGCCGGCTGTCATAAACCGCCAGCTCGTGCTCAAGGAGGTGCACCGTCTTCGCCACATTGTGCACCATCCGCTTCACTGCCCCCTTCTTTGGCTGGCCGGCAACACCAGACCAGCTCACTGGTCCAGCACCAGTGCCCAATCGAACTCCTCGTCCGAGGTCAGGTGCTCGCTCTCTTCCTCGTCCATGTTCCCAGGGTACCCGGACACCGAAATTGCTGAAGTCGGCCGTGGTCTCGTCTTGGGCCGGGATCCCTGAGGTCCTGCCGACGAAGAGGCCGGGGTCCCGTCTGGGCCGAAGGCAAGGGAAGCGCACAAGATTTGGAAGATGGATGAAAGCGCCACCCACGGACTTCTCCATCCTCTACCCACTTCCATCGAGCCTGGCACTTGTTGCATGTCGCGAACCTTCCCTGTGCATTTCCGTGGCGCTTCATATCGTCGTGGGGGCAATGTTGGGGAGCCACTTGCACCACTGGTCGCGGCTTTGGTCTGCTGCGGCCCTCCGGCTTCGAGTCCTGGATGGTTCTTGTCACCTTCCCGGGGTCCCCCAGGCGGCCTGCACGGTAGGCCAGCACAATCGCCCGCATGAACAGCTTGCGCATGTGGGTCAAAATCCTTCTCCAGCTCACAAGCCATGACGGAGGGGTCACGAGCATCTCTACCACTCCAGGAAACTGCTTGGCTTTGAGCTAAGTTGCTGTGATGATTTGCCATGCTTTGCTCAAGGAGGCTGCTGTCGCACAAGTACTCGCAATCATGGTGGTTCAGCGACTCCCAAGTGAAGCTACCAACGCACGCCGGAAACTCAGAAATCTTCATGCACAGGTGGCCTTGTAGGATGTGGAGGTCGATGGTGCAGTCGAGGAGCCCGATGTATGCCTTTTGCTGGGCCAGGTTGAGTACTATCTCCAGTTTCTTAAGTAGGCTTAAGCTGGCCAAGAAGGGTATCGAGAGGTTCTCCATGATCGAGGCGCTGAGGGCTATCATGGGGTAGCTGGCGTCAAAGGCAACCGGAAAGTAAGCGCAGACCTGAGACCGCTGCGGTGCGCCAGCTCCGAACTGGAAGGCCTCATTTCGGTTTGTGTACAGCATGTCCAAACCGAAGCTCTCGATCATCTCTCTCTGGCTCTCGCTCCACTGTCTGCTGCAACACGACCTCTGGCACCCTGTGTCAACAACGCAGTACCCCTGCAGCTCTGTGACGTTGGCCATGCAATCAAACTCAACCTTGAAAACCGCGAGTGATCTGTGCACCTGGCTGCTCGAAGAGGTCTGGCCTGCTGAAGTTGCATCAGGTAGGGCATCAAGTGAGTAAAGTGTCTCGTGCCCCGCAGCATGCCGAACGGAAAAGACCTTTTGAGCACCACCGCTGGGCTTGCGATCACCTGCGCCGGCAGCAAAGGAACCCTTGCCGCCCTTGTTGTCATCGCCCTTGCCTTTGCCCTTTGAGCTGGCCGGGCACTCTTGATCACCGGCCCAGTGGCCAACCTGTCCGCAAGCTGAACAGGCTGACGTCGTCTTGCGGTCGGCAATGCTGCGCTTGGGTGCTCCACGGTACTTGCGGCCCTGAGTCATTGACTGGAGCTTCTTGGAGGTAACCGTCAGCACCTGCACAAGCTCTTCGATGGCCTCTGTGGGATCGCCGCCGTCGTCGGGGACTAGCTCGTCCTCGTCGTCGCCTTGGTCGTGGCCCTCCTCGGCGTCGTCTTGGTCCTCGCCGTCGTCCTCCCTGATGGCCTGCAGTGCCTCATGCTGTTCTCCGAAGTCGTGCTCCTCGCCTTCGTCGTGGTCCGCAACATAGGCCCGACGATAAGGAACACCACCGCCCGGTCTTCCATCCGGCCGTGGTCCAGCACTTGAGCTGCCGCCCTTTGAGGACTTGCCCTTTGCATCCCCTTTTCCGCTGGCCTTGCCCTTGTCGAAGCCAGCTGGTTCTCGAAAGCCGGGGCCCTGAAGGAAGGGAGTCGGCTTATGGTCGGGGTATTGCATCACCAAGGCGCTCTTGATCTCATCGAAGTTCAAGCTTTGGCCGGTCCCGACCAGGATCATGCGCTGCTGTTCGTGTGACAGCTTAGCTCGATCAAGGAGACGGCTGCCGCGGCTCTCGCTATCATAGGTCAAACCGACGTCGATGCCGATGCTCAGCAGTGCCTTCTCGACCCTATGGTAGCGGTTCACATAAGCTCGCATATTCTCTCCGGCTGCTCGGCTTATGGTCTCATAATCCGACAGGTACTTCCGCTTGAGGTAAATCTGCTTAGCCTGCAAGGGGCCCCGCAGCTGATCAAGGAGAAACTCGATGCCGTCTTTGTTGTACAGCCGCTTGATGTCGATGTGCTCCAGCTCCTCTTCAGCCTCGCCGCCAAGGGAGGTGTAGAGGGTCAGTGCGGCCTCCTTCGCGGACATGTAAGGCTTGACCTGCAGCTGCCACAAGGAAACCTTGCGCTCAAACTTGCTAAAGGCCCTGAGGTCGTCCTTGGAGTAGTTCCACTTGGGTGGCACGGGAGGCGCTCCGCCACGCCAGCGGATTCCCTTCTCAGGTCCTCTCGCCGAAGTCCAGGAATCCTCCGAGGAACCCTTCTTCTTGAGCATCTTCCGGAGGTCCTTCATGGTGCTGCTCTGGTTGGCTGGGCTGTCGGCGTCATCCCTCACAGCTGCTCTTCCCTCTCGCTCAGCTCGTTGCGCTCGCCTCTGCCTTCTGCTCGGTCTCTTGGCTGTCTCGCCTGTTTCGCTCGCCCCGCTCGGAGTCACTACGGGGTCCAATGTCGGCACCTCGCTCTCGGCCCGCTCGTCCCCATAGCCGTCATCTCCCGGAGGGTCGTGCCGAGGAGCTCGTCGAAGTCCTTGTGCAGGGCCAGGCCTCGACCAGGTAGAGGTCGAAGAAGCCGCCGAGGACCTAGGTGAGCTCGAAGAAGGCGAGCCAGCAGCGTACGGAACGTAAGTCCAGACTCCCCTGTCCGTCTCCTCTGTGGCTGGCTGATCTGCGTCGTACAACTCAGAAGAGCCACACCTTGCACAGAACCAATTGTCTTCGAGACGGTCCCAGCGGCAGTCTGTGCTCCGGCAGATTTTGCAAACCCAATTGGACAGGACGCTGTTGTATGGAGCTTGCATCCCGCTCCTCGGAAAACGCAAAGGAAGGTCCAGGAAAGAAGGAACCTCAGCCCGATCATGGGCTGGTCCCCGGAGAGTCCTGACTGGTAAGCCAAAAGGGAACGCAGGTCGACCATATCCCCCTGGCTGTGCCTCAGTCGCAACTCCGGGCGTCATCCCAGACTCTGCTCCCGATGCGTTCGGTCCTTCGCCGAGAAAATCGTGGAGATCTGGAACAGCGTCGTCTTCGTGAGGAGGTGGCCACAAGTTCGCCTCAAAAGCCATTGTGCCACCACCACTCTGCAGGAGCGCGCACCCTGGATCGATGGGCTCCGCTGCCAACTAATGGCAACGAATCTCGAATGCAGACGCGGCTTCGATCTGCAGCACTCAAACGCACATGTTTTGCTGGACGGCACTCACAGCTGAAAGAACTACGACTCAAGGGATCCGCTGAATGGCAGCGCCACGTGAGAGAGTGAACACCAAGCACTAAGGCGCAAGAAGACTGAAATTCACAAAAAGTACACAGACGACGTGCATCTGTCGGTGCCGTTCCATAAATGCACCATGTAAGCTTTGCTTACATTTACAGTATTTGTCAAACACAGTTGGCAGCTTCCCAAAGATCAGACTCTGAAAAAGTCTTGCAATGCATTTTCGGTCAAACTCTGGGGAAAGGGCATATCGCCCGTCCTCAGAACGGTGATCGTTTCCTGTCGAAGGTTTACTTTTCAAAAGTATCACTCGCAAGAAGAGCACTTTGCTAAGGCCTGACTTTCTGGTGCATAGTCCTTCCTTGCATGTTATCCAATGTCTCGCATCTGCAGGGCAGCTCGCCCTCACTTGGGCCTGAGTGTACGCTCAGCGAACATCTCGGCGGAGGCAGGCCTGCTGTAGGGACCTCGGGTGTCAGGGACAAGACCGCCTGTCTCGAAGGCAAACATCAGCCAAGCTGCCACAGAAGGTGTCTGGCGAAAGCCAATTCCTGCTCGAAGGATGATACGTGCCATCTCTTCTGTGAGGAACGGATGAAGCGTGATGGAGCACAGCTTACTTCTACCCCTTCTGTCCAGTCCTTCCAGGCCGATGGCTCCAAGTGGCGTCCTCGCCCTCCTCGCCGATGTGCTCGGGCGAGCCGGGCCTCGGATCGAAGGCACTCCGTGGAAGCACAGAGGACGAGACCACAAGACTCTCGTGCCTGGCTGCGGTAAGCGTGCTCACCTCCAACACACAGGGGCATTCTCTGACTGCAAGACCTAGGACCTAGGGTCCTGGGGCCAGGGCGTACTCCAGAAGAGCCTGAAACATTTCCACTTCCTCTGGGCTGGCCGTTCTCAGCTCAGGAAGAGACCCGAATCTTCTCCAGCTCTGCATCGTTTCGAATTGGCTCTTCGGGAGCTTCCTTGTGCTTGCAAGGATCCTCCGTGCCTTCGTGCACTCGGTTTGTACGCCCGGCCTGACGCAGTGGCCGTGCTTCTCGAAGCTCCTCATCCCTGTCACACATTGAACTAACGACAAGCGAGGCTGCGCTGCAAGCACCTCGCCTCTTGAGAGCACGCTCCTTCTTCCTGACAGCAACGGTCTCCAGTCGCTCTTTCAGCAATGCCTCAGATTCTCGAATGTCAAAACACAATGATGCTGCACTGACACATGCGCTCCTGCGCACAAAGGACCTTGTGATGACGAACTTTTGCTTCTTCCGGAGAAAGCTTCTTGTCCCGGGGAGGTAGAAAATGTGATGGATCTCCCGAACAGAAGCCGATCAGTAAAGCAGCAAGCTTGCCAAAGACAGCTTCGACACGCCTGCCACATACTCGTCCTCAAGCCTCTGCCGCATTGTGCCTTTTAACGGAGGCGGCAAACCAATCCTCGGCCTTGGCCAATTCAGTGTCTGCTTAGGCACGGGTACTCACGTGATTTGGGCCCGTGCAAACCTTCCTCATCCAGTTGAGGCGTGAAGGTCCTGCGAGAATTGCTATTTAACACCAGACATGCTTGATTCTGCGGCCAGCTGTCTTTCCGCCACACATACACATCTGCAAGTGCCAACCTCGCAACCTCCGGCAGCAGCAGGCAAGTGACATCCTGAAACCAATCAAGATCTGCGAAACGCCCCGTCATGTCGAGTTTTTTGAAACACATCTGGTCCTGTGTTGTAACTTTCTGGGGCTTGCCTGACGGCGGCGGTGCTGGTGTTTGCGCATGCCAGAAGAGCAGGTGCGATTGAAGCCTACGAGGGGCCGTGTTGACAGGACGTAGGCCGGGTTCGCACTGGACATCCTTGGCACACCATGCAGGCACGCTTTCTGACTTGAGCTGACCGTCGAATGCTTTCTTTCTTCGGCTGCAAAAACGCTACTCTTTATGTTTACATGTCCGCAGCATTCTCTACTGTCACGTCTTACTGTGAGCGTCCATTCTTGCGGCTGCGGCTACTCTACTGTTGTTCTTGCAGACATGATGCAGCTGTCAGGTTTTGTTTGTTCCCGAAAGCTTGGCGAAGTGTATTGTTCGTGAAAGTGGTTTGGATGACATGATGTGATGATGTTGATGGTAAGTTGTCTCTTAAGCTGTCGTGAAAAAAAAAATATATATATATATATATATATATCATAATTTGAGGATATGTGAGGTCTTCGAAGGGTTGGCCCGTAGGTGTTCGCTCTTATGCCTGGTTTGGTTGCACATGTGCTGAAATAAGGGTGATGACTGGCGGGAGCCGCATCGAAAGTGGTGAGTGCCGCGCGCGTGGTGCTTTGACAACCTACGGAGCTGCTCCTGAGGCCAACGTCGAAATCAGGCTGAACACGTCGGGCCGTCACGATCCGTGTTCGAAATGGACAACACTCGAAACGGATGTGGCATGTCCGTGTCCTCTGCTTCCGCTGAGCGCAATCCGCTGCAAATTCTCATACATGGGCATCATGTTGGAACACAAAATCACGACCCTCTCAGTGCTGACGGTGTGTCGCGTCCGGGTGTGTGCGCTCCCGTGTACATTCCAATACGTTGGCCTCATGTTGGCCTCGAAATGATAACGCGTCTCCGGGCGCGACACCGTAAATATTACACAGTATAGTATAATACTAAGCAATGACATAAAAGACCAGGTAATGCAACACAATATAACATGACGTGACATAAGATGTTAACACGATAACGCCAAATAACATAAAATGCTACTGTATGATGTCACGCAGTAAACCTTAAATCACTTTAATATAGTAGGGTATAATAAAAACAAAATTAGAACATCATATATGTATATATATATATGTATATATATATACATACATACTTACTCTATGTATATATGTATTTAGTTACTTCAAGACTACTTACTTGACAGCAATGTGTCACGTCCAACAAAATGGACTCCTATCGTCGACTATAGATGCGACAAAGACCCGGATGACAACAATTTCTCGGACGGCCACTGAGCATCGCACTTGCATCTTCGCAGCGCGACTTCGCCGCGCTGCACCATAAAGACAGCAGGTTCAAGCCTTTGTAGCAATCACAGCAGCAGTCGTTTGCAGCAACATCCAGCAGAGCTTCTGGCAACACCATGCCTTCTTCAAGCAGGCAATCCCTGACAGTAGGTCGGCCAGCTCTCACAGAAACGTGTTCGCAGGGCTCAACGGATGTTACGAGCACTGCACATCTTCCCTAAATCCGGGTTCGGTGCCCCTCTGGTACCACTTCCTTAGTTGTAGACGAATGGCACTTGTTGTTTCCCCGACCAGGAAACGAAATGCAGCGGAGACTCTCGCTTGAAGAATTCGTTGGGATGTGGCCTCCAAGCGTCACTTGACGTGATTGCTTCCAGCAATAAGACAAGACGTCACCGATGCAACACCCGACATACACGGTCAAACGATACGGCGTGAGGGAAGGTGCACGTTGGCCACATGGATGATGGCCATTGCAAGCTTCGGCTCTTCGTCTTCCGAACTTCGCAGCCAGATGCAGCCAGACACGGCCCTGAACGGACAGCTTCCGCGACTGAAAGGCCCTTTTCACCCGAACCTGTACGAGGCTCACTCGGAGACACTTGGGAGGTGCTTGCGGCTGTCAGCATTGGCTCGCCACGAAAAGATTGTGGTTTCTGGTCTTTCCTTGTACCGTCCTGACTTGTAGCATGTCTTCAGCACTTCGAAAGCTGGCCGTTTTGAACCGGTGCTGCGGCACCTGTGTATACCTGTGTCTTCTGATGTCATGAACACATCTACCTGAAGGGCATCAAACCTTCCAAATCGGAAGAGCCTGAGGCTTCTGTTCTTGTTGAGACCCGGCATATACAAGTCGAAGAAGCGCTGGTTCTCACGCATCCTGAGCTGAGCACTGCAATAGAGAGCTGCATGTGCCTTGATGGTGTTGAGCGCGGAGCTTCTTCAATGTCTGCTTGAAAATCAAGGCATTGATCCTAAGACCGCCGGATTATCCTACCCGTGTGATCATCCGATGCTGCTGACACATCAGTGGCAAACCCGTCACACACTCGGGGATCTGACGCCAAGAACTCGCAGTCTTTGATGCACCTTACCCGACATCTCCACAAAACACGAGCTACGCAGCTATGCTACTTCAAGGCAATGCACTGGAGCAGGACCACAGACTTGGCCATGTCGGCAATCGACACGCACTGCCGCAGCATTGCAGCATGGTAACCCTGCTGCTTGGCTGCCGCAGGACCCCGGAATCAGCTGCAGTAGATGGCATGGAAAAAAACCGTGTTGTTTTTCAGATCCCTAAGCTCTCTTGCGGGTGGACCTCTCCTCACCGGGAGCATACTCTCCCACTGATTCATGGCTCAAGTCTGGTCTCCAACGGGCGACAGAAACCCAGCTTTCGATTGGCAACACAAGAACTTTCAAGAACGTTGTGCTAGAGTTTGGCCTTTGCAGCTTCAACCGAGCACCGGCCTCGGGCTGCACCAAAAGCACTCTCTTTGCTTTCGGGCTTCCCAAGCTCTGCGGCTTGCAACCCCTCGAACTTTGCAACTCCTCTCCTCTGAAGTTCAGACAGCTGGCAAAGGCTAGGAAGACGTCTCCATCCATAATTCATGTATGCTGCACCTTCCCCGGAAGCCCCGTAAGGACCAGACCTTGCGCTATGCTGCCACAGCTCTTTGCCAACCAGCGCAGATTCGCCAAGCAGAGTCCCAGGCGCATCTGGCATATTCTGCCGGCACTATGCTAATTCACAGAAAGTCTGCCTGTCTCTGTTCTCTCTCTGTCTGTATCTTGCTCGCTTCCGAACCACGCGCACTGGGAGAATCATGACTTCCCCTCGTCGTGCACCAAACATGCCCCCACATCCGTGCCCTTTCTCCTTGAACCTTCATCGCACACTCTTGCTCATCCTGAAGATGACGGATATCGCAAGACACGTGCCTAGACCCGTTTTCTCCCCGACAGCAACCACAACCATCTGCACCTTGCTTCACCTCTTTTCGGATTTTGGTTCACGGGTTTTCCGAAGACAGTAATCTTTTCCAGTCACAACAAGACTTTTCAGCTTGTTTCATTGGGCCACTCTATTGCCACCGGCACCACGACTGTCTGGGTGGAGCGCTCCTACAGTTCACGCTCGGTAACACTTCGTCGGCCGTCGTCTGGCCGACCGCAAAGAGCTTACGGATGGCGACCTCTCTTGCGCTCGTCTCTCCCTGTCCACGGCACTTTCCTCCCTGACAGCATCAACCAAGCGCAGCAGACGGTGCGTGTCGTACAGTTCTCCATAGGAGGAATCCTGGCAGCCGGAAACAAAACATCCCTTCCAACTCCCACATATCGCCCCACATGGTCACCACATGTCATGCGCACCTTTTGCAGGTCGAAGCCCGACTCGACAAGTGTCTGTTGTCTGTAACACATACTTGCGCGAAGACCTTTGCTTCGCCCGCCAAATTCTAAACGCACTTCTCAGAAGCATCGAGTTGCTCTAGATTGCAGACCTCAGCGAGCTGCGCCGCCATGCCCATGCGTGCAAGACGAGACCCTGCCTGCCCTGCTTGCAGCTGAGGGTCTTCTCTCGGAGTCAGGCTGAAAGTGATCAAAGCCGCGGCGAGTGACAGAATTCCTTGCAATGTTGCAGTCCAGATCTGCCGTGCATGTGCAAACATGCGCTGGGTGAATGTCCCTAGTGCGCTCTTGCCCCGGAAGACTGTTGCAGTCCAGATACCACAGGCACCGTACACAAACTCCATGCCTCTGTTGCACAAGCAGCTCCAGGCACAAGCAGCTGCAAGGTTAAAGGTTAGCAGCCAAGTAGCCACAAGATTGCTGCAGCAGTGGAAAGACGGCGGTTCCGAAGAAGGCGCCCAACTTGCCACAGGCTGCAGAAATGCCGTGACAGCTTGCACGAGCCTCATTTCGTTAGCAAACAAGACGTTCGATCATGTGAAACAAGAACAGCCGCGTCGTGGCTTGCAAAGCCGCTGGCACAAGTCGGGAAGATTTCTGCAGGGATGATATAGGTGGTCAGATTCGGTCCGGAATTGAGAAAAAGGAACCTCGAAGCAGAATCAACATCACGAAGAAACGCAAGTCGCTTAAAACGCTCCAAATCTTGGTCGAAGGAGCATGAAGCCCAGAGCGGCCACGTGTGAAAGCACGGACGGCCGTCCATCACTCATTGACATAAGGCCACCGACCTGAGCAAAGGAAGCGAATTTGGCCAACCGCAGAGCCCTCCGCCCTCCCAGTAAAGCCAAGTGCAAGTGGGAAGCCGTAAAGAACACGACGGCGATGGCAAGAAAGCCATACAGCTGCATCTTGAAACCTTGGAAATAAAATTTCAGTCGGGTACTGCAACCAGGCAAACCGGTCGACCCAAGAGATACATCCCCTTCCCGCAGCGTACTGTCTACATGCGAACAGTGAGTAGCTTCTGATGGTTGTTGAGCTCGCTGCTCTCGCATCGGAGTTTTGCTCTGAATCTTCCAACACGATTTCTGTACAACGCTGTAAAAACTCTGGGGTGGGTTGTGATGACTTAGCTGTGAGGTGGGATGTTGGGTCTCCTTTCCGGCGTTGTGCCGCATCTCTGTGCCGCAACCCTCGTTGTCTGCGTGGCAACGGATGTAGAAAATGCCGCACTCCCCGGCTCTCGTCCTGGTGAGTCTTCCCAATCCACGTTCGAAGGAGAATATCAGAAGAATATCCGTCTGTAACAAGTCCAGTGTCTCTTCGTTCAGCGTCCCCATGCCTGGAGGATCATGCGCAGTTCCCCGTTGCTGGGCATTGGTGTGTCGTCGACACTTGTAGGCTGGAAAAGCAGATAGTGCCGACATGCCGCCCGCTTCCCCTTCCGCCCTCGGCCGGCGGCAGGTTCCCCGTTGTTCCTGAGCAACTGTGGCCATTGCCGTGGGAGCACCGAGTGCCCTGCTCGGCTGACACTGTGGATGGCCGGGACGCGTTAAGGGCTAGGTTGAATATTGTCAGATTTCGACATGGAACTGCGGCTGGCCAGTTGGCCCCCGACCCTCTCCGTGGGATTACAGAGTACAGAGAATCAAAGTGAAGCTCTGTGTCCCCGCAAACTACTCGGCAAATGTCGATGCGAAGGCCACGTGAGCGCTCACGTGCACTTCCGGGGCCCACAGACAACTCTGTGAACATGCAAGGTGATGATACGTCCCACTCGTCCTCCTCGCCAGCTTGTGGGGTAAGCTTTTCGCAGCAATAAAGCTAGCAAAAGTAGAGAGATGTTGATACGAGCCCCAGGACTCAGATCAGTTTTATCTCTGATTGTGGGGCTGCCTCTCCAGTAGCAAGCAACAGCAATCAATGTACGAAAGCTCTGTCCAACTTTGTTTTGCAGTACCCACGGCCCGGGGGTGAAGTCTCTCTCCTTCGCTCTCTCCCCGGTCTCCTTCAAGAAACCAAACCAGGCCTAGAAGCGGCTTGTGATCCTCACCAAGCAGAGGCCCGCTCCAAAGCCAACAATGGCAAAGCAGCTCCTGGGGACCGGCTGAGCACAGGGGGGCAAACTCCAAAAGTACCATCATAGATCATAGCCACCCTTCAACTTGTCAACTAGAGTTTTCTTCCGCCCGGCTGCGTAATCGCTGCAAACCGCGCATGCTGAAACACCTTCAGGGAGTGGGAACGATGTTTCACGCTGCGTCTTCTGAATGTCTGGCACCCGCTTTGCACGAAAGCCTCCTCCGACGGTGGTAAACTGCTCGTATGGATCACTGCATCGAAGATTGTGCTCTTGAAAGATCCGAGGCTGTAGGCAAACCTGGGCATGTTCATATCACATTCCACCAATGAACCAATGGAGACTCGACGAGACTTCATAACGCGCATCGAAGGGAGCGACAAACGGCAGGTCCAAGCACCGCACATGTTCATGAGCAGCCAAGTGGAAGCAGTACCCGCCAGCAAATGCCAACGAGCAGAAATAGCCTCCAGTATCTTCCTCCGTGGGCTGTCTTCCACCTGCGGACATGCTTCGCCAAGCTGTCGTCGTACGGGCGACTTATATTGTTGGCCGTAACCTAGCCTTCGGCTTGCTCTTCTCGAAGATGTCGGATTCAGTAAGTGACCATCGCATGCCTCAGTACGAAAACACACCCATGCCATGTCGGGGAGTATAAGCATTTGGAATCATCTGCTTCTATGCCAAGCCGACGTGGATTCACACTTTGAGTTGACTTCAAGCTGTACTCCTCTATGGCTGCGGCAGAAGGCAAGCGCAGATGGCACTGCTCCAAAGCCGAGGAGGAGTCTCCAAATCGCCTCTAGGACGCACAGTCACAGCACACGGCCGAAGGAGCTTTTCTGGTGCTGTGTACAACAGGAGCTTGTTACCGAACCGGAAACCCTCTTGGAAACTAGGCCTGGTCGGCCGAAGTGTCTCCTGCCTAGCACTACTAGTAACCGCTAGCCCCTGTCTGCAGAACAAAAAACGGCCTGCAGCGTGGTTCAAACATAGAAACGAAGAAAACCTGAAAGAGCCCATTGAAACTCGTAGAGCCATGAAAGGCCGCATGCACAGCGCTAAAGCAAATGCCTCAAGCGACAGCGGCATGCTCAGCATCAGCATGGCCTGAACGGAGCATCCAAAGGTAACGAAACATCTCTTGTGCCGAGGAGTCGATGACGTGACAAATGAGGCCAGGACCATCATGGCCGACATCAACATTCCCAGACCCTGTCACAAAAGCTCTCTCTCTCTCTCTCTCTCTCTCTCTCTCTCGGTGATTCTCAGTGCGAAGTTGCGGATACGGTTTCGCCGTCCTGCATAGAAACTACCACAGCCATGGCCTGGCCACGTCCTGCACATGTGCAGAGTGCAGCGAGTGCAGCATCTAGTATAAACGAAAGCCCCCAAAGTGCACATGGACTTTATGGACCTAAGCTGGCTACGTGCCGTCAAGATGCCGCCTGAATCTGATAAAGCTTCTGCAGTTACCTTGCGTCGGCACGGCAATATTAATTCAACAATGTTCAGTTGCTTCGGCTACATCAGTAACTAGTCTGGCCGGGTCTCAGTGGCTGACAGCGGATACTCGCCACCCACTCCCAGCCCCAAGAAGAAGCGACAGACAGACATTTGGATCGGCAGCGTCGCCGGTCCAGAACAGAGGGAGCATGACAGGGCTCCGAATATGGTCAGGGCAGCCGTCGTCACGAAGGCCCATTTCCGCCCAAGCCAGTCTGCAACGTAGCCGAAGGCCAGTTGTCCGATCACTACTCCGGCCAGCATCGCACTGACCATCATAGCTTTGGCTCGGGCAGATACAAGCAACTCCCCATACTCGAGCTGCAATATCAACACCACAAGGTCAATTGTAAAAAGGTCGTAGGAATCAGCCAGGAATCCAATGCAAGCTGCCAGCACGCGCCAGGTGCCCTCCGCATGACTGAGGCGCTCGCCAGCAAGAAGTGGCTGACTTTCCCCCTCTTGGGGCTTCATTACGGGCTGGGGCTTCACCACATTGCCGGCAAGTAGAGGCTTCCCTGAAAGAGGGGGCTCTCTGCTCTTGAACCGACTCTGATGCAGCAAGATAAAGACTCGGAAAGTTAAGCTGGACAACAACCCTCATGGATTAAGCCTACATTGCATAAGAAATTGATGGTCGGACCTTGCTGAATGTGCTGTGACCCTCCACGGTCCGGAACCTGCAGCACAGTTATGATCTCAGGACTTGCTGTCTTGAATATGAAACAAGTACAAGAGACAGGCGGCGTGCTTGAAATGTCATGTCAACTGTGCCTTGGCAAAGCCTGGGCCTCATCTCTGCTTGCCTTCTGCACATATTCTTGCAATGTCGGATATCGCGAGGGGTCGTAGTCTGTCCGAGGGGTGCCAAGACCCCTCGTGGCTTGCTTCTGTAGCTTCGACGAGCCTTTGTCATCATCCGTGGTTTCAATGGGATGCCAGCCAGACTGCTTCAAGAAATCACGATCACGGGAGTACATCTGTACCGACCCGGAGAGCTGGACATACGAACAGCATGCTGGATCGCCTTCTCGATATAGAACTTGCCCAGCTACAGTCGTGACAAAAGACAGTGAGCCAGACTCCACAAGAAGCTTGATGAATCCTGCGTTCTGCCCTTCCAATTTCTGGAGCAGCGACACCCCAAGTGCAATTTCGTATGGAGTCTGCCCACTACGGCCTTTGGACAGGAAGCCTTCTGCAACACACACCGGAGGTTTTCGAGCCGAGCGGGCTTGCTCACAGATGATGTCCATCCCTCGAGGCCGGCGAAAAGAAATGGTGGACCACAAACCAGTAAATGCCCGAACATCATCTTCTCGCTTCAAGAGCCTGTAGTCCGAGCAGCTCACCAGAACTTTGGAGACGATTCCACATGCAATTTTCTCGGTACGCTCGTTTGGCTCTGGCTCGGCTTGTGCAGGCCGGAAGTCTGCAGCAAAGAGGTCGTTCCAGGAGTCTGAAGCCAGGTATCCTGTCGTGAAAGACTTCACTGACGCCAACGATGCAGCTGTCCATGGCCGTGCCGTCGCCGCAGACCTCTTCAAATCGACAGAGAACGTAACGTAAAGCTCGTTCTATCTCCGGTGCCTCAGAGTGCTTTCCCCCAGAGTGTTGCCGAGATCATCGACCTCTGACTCCGAGAACAAAATTGGGTCGCTGCCACTACGGGCAACTGATGCCCCGAACCAGACACCGGTAGGGCGACGACGGGTGAAGAGCTTGGACGTGGAGGCCTCGTGTGTCATGCGCTCGTTCGTTTCTTCGGTTTAATAGAAACAGCAGCTGGCGATGTTGAAATTGGGGATTGTTTTGTCACACTTGCGCTTGTGGCTTGCAGAGTTATGTTATAGTGTGTTAGAGCGCGTCATGGACGCGTGCGGAGACGAGGGGTGGCGCTGTCTTGTTCATGGACACTCTTACACCGACTAACGCCTCCGTTATTAAACTGAAACACCATGTCCTCCATGCAGTTCTTCGCAGGAGCCATATCTCCTTCTGCTATGACAGGGTCATGGCAGTTCTCGAGGCCCCCACAAGTCTCCAAAATCCGGGTGTCCTTCCAATAGCAAAGCACACGAACTCAGGCGCTTTCGACCTTCTGATGCCTGGCTGTTGTTTCCAATGCCATGTGTCATAGTGACCTGCATCGAGACCAAGGTCTGCACCGAGTCTAAACAAAGCATCATCACAATGTGCTGCCATGGATACGCCTCTCAGGGAAGGAGACAACCTTAGCTAGGCGAACGTCAAGCTGCACTGCAGGCGACTGCTCCAAAGCCAATCATGCTGTGGTCATAACGGACGCCCACTGGCGTGCTGAACACTCGGACTCACGGGAGCTTCATTCCTGGATCAGAGACCGTCGTCTGAGTGACCAGACGTTGACTTCTCACTTCTCATCTACGCAGGGCAAGACCGCTCTTGTGGCGCATCCTGGTAGTGTCATCATCCTGTTCCGGCATGCGCGAGCTACCTTTCAACTAAAGTATAACCTGCTGGTTGCTGGGTTGGCAAGCCAAGAAGATTTCCAATCGTAGGCTAAAGCTTCAATAACATTCCATGCGACGGGCTGGAAAACACATACAAACGCTGCCACGTGGTCTATCTTGTTTTGTGCTCTGGCAAACACATCCGAGCCAACTTGAGGCACAAGCCTATGCACAGCACAAAATCCAAGAAACTACTCGACACAGTGTCTTCAGGCCACAGTATAAGACCACATGCGCTGTGACATGTTTGGTGCGACGCACCCTGCCAGATGACCAGAGAAACGAAATATCAATTTTTGAAGGAAACCGCAACTAGATTTTGCACTGCAACCCTGACTGATCGCGCACGACGTTGCATGGTGGGCATAGCTTCCACAGCAAAACTAGCTGAAACGGCAGAACGTCGTATAAGCAAATCGTACAGGCCGCACACAGAAAATTCATCCGAATGGCTGCAAGCTGCACTTGCACACATTACTTGCCGATGAAGAGTATCGTGAATGGTATCTGTGTTGCAAATAGCAACAATACAACTTTCAACAATTCCATGATTCAAAAGTCCGTGCGAAGTCAGCAAGTCGGCGCAGTCCTTCTTTCTGCGTGAACCGCGTCCGTTTATGGGCTCAACGGCACCTTTACGTCCTGCCAACCGCATGTGTTTGCCACGGTTGGGCTTACGCATGGGGGATTGGGTAAAGTCTAGAGTCGAGGGTGCATTTTAGGTTAATCGAGTTTTGTCTGGTGTTACGTAGGACTGTCAAGCGCCTCTTTTTCGTCTCGTGCACGGTTTAGGGCTCGGGGTGTGTATACAGCGGGTGCACAGTAATTTAGGAAGGGGGCCCACCCATGCTTGCGTCAGCATGAAACCCTACCCCAACCACTTTCCACTATGCACACATGTCATGGCAGGGCTGTACAAGATGCAAAGATTTGATCGGATAGTTTTGGGGAACCCGCGCCTCGCGCCGTGCGAACTGTTGCATGGCTTGTGGAAAGATACGACTTTGAATTCGTTGACCCGTTATGCAGCTGTCGAAACTTCAGCAGTCACTGTTGGGTCCTCTCTGTAGCCGGGATACTCTGTCTGACTGCAGACCATGGGCTTCAACACAACCTACACGTAAAACATATGCAATTACGTTGCATGCAAGCCTGCTGTGGGTTGCAGGCATTACAGTAGCCAACGCCTGAGAAACTCCTTTGCAAGATTCGCAGGAGAGACAAGGACTCCAAGGACCCGGGACCTCCCCGGGAATTGTGAGCTGGTCAAACCGCTGCAGCGCAGCACTCTTTTCTGTCAAATGATGCAATCCGTGCAGCACGACAGTGCGACTGCGCGGCTCAGACCGACGGGGCGACCCGACGGCGGCTGCAAAAGCTAAAACTATTCAATAGTTCTGTCGCAGCATCCATGATGTCACCCTTCACACAGGGGGCATCATGGCCAAAATGATCTTCGAGGCCGTGGCGACTGCAAGATATGGACAAAGGAGGCCAGGATTGGCTCCGCCATCACGATTCAATTTCAAAATCTGCATCTGTCTTCTGCTCGTGCGTTGCCGGCAGACAATTGGGACTACGTAAGCTGAATTGGAGAACACAGCAACTCTGCAGTGCACGGTATAGTTGTATGACTGCTGTATTGTATGTATAGTTGTGTTTGGCGTGTGTTGCATATTAGTGTCTATTAGTTGGTGCACTCTTTGCTGGCCGAAAGAACAGCTGTTTAACACAGCTGCTCAGGAATCAACAGCAAAGGCGACTTATTCAGGTTTTGAACCTGTATTGGCAGATTGAAACCTACGTTGCTTTGCGTTTCGACCTTGGCTGGAACTGGTTTTCTTCCTTTCCTTTGTTTCGTGTGGCATACCTTCTTTTTGTTCATTTTGCGCTTTGCACAGTTTGGGTTTGGAGTTGGGATTCGCGGCTTCAAAAGAGGCGGAGAATTGCAGGGAGTTAAACCTGGTGCGCGGATGGAGAAAAGCGCAATTTAACTCAAAGAAAACAATTGTGAAATGTTTTAATCTGTCTTTGTTCCACAAGAACAAGACGCACTTTGACCCATCTGCCTCGCAACATGTGTGCAAGATGCGTCTTCTGGCAGCGTCAAAATTCGAAAGCCCAGACCAAACTTGGAGCCGTCCTCCTTCTCTTGTTCGGCCGAGTGCTCTAGTCTCTGTGACACTAGTGTCAAAGCCGTCCTTGCTGACGAGGCCGCCTGCAAGAAGTGCCTCCGTGCAGCCGCCGCAGCATGTGTGTCCACCACCTTTTTCTGCGCTGTCACGAATGCAGCCGTAACTGTTCGGCGATGCATGTGCCACAAGATATCGTAGTTTCAAAGCCACTCGGACCTGCCCACAGGTGGTCTGAGCTCCCAGGGAACCAGGTTTGAAACCTGGATTCAACCTGGGTTTGAACTTTGCCTAGATTGAACCTGGGTTCAACTCCGGATCAAACCCAGATTTTAACCCAGGTTATGACCCAGGTTTGGTTTAAGCCAGAGGTTCTAACTCAGGTTTGGAACCCAGGTTGATGAATCCAGGCAACAACTAGATTCAAACCAGGTTTATTTTCCAACGAAACTTCCGTTAGCGCGGGTTTCGGGGAACCCTCTACTGCGCTGCAGAAGACTAAAGGCGAGAGCACTCTTTTTTCCTCCTAGCGGATATGGGGGGTCTGTTCGGGCCCGATCTTCGGGCACTGAAGAAACGATGCCGCTGGCATCTCTGCAGAAAAATCGACCACTGGTCGAGGGTAAGGCGAACGACTGGTCCACCCCCCGCTTTGACTCCCTACAAGGGAGAAACAACTGTACTACAAGACAGAAGTGGTGAAACTAAGGAAGACCCACTGGGTCACTGCAGTCTACTACTAGCTACGCTGCTCTGCTGCGGCCTACGGCCTATGTACAAGAAAGCATGCTATGCTGACGAAAAGAATCTCTTCTAGAGATGAAGCCAGAGCCCTGCTCTAGGCAGCTCTGCTGCAATATGCGTGGTCCCAGACCCCGCATACTATACAGGGTGTGGTGGGCGGGACAAAAAATTTCTGGATCACAGATCCAACTTCAAGCCGAAAGCTGTACGGCAAAGTTTGCCTAGTGTTCTCAACACACAAGTGAAAACACTGTTTTCCTTTTTCGACAAACTTTGTCTACACTTTCGGGGGAAAATAAAACTCATTCACGCACGCATGATGGAAGCTTATTTTCCAACGAAACTTCCGTTAGCGCGCGTTTCGGGGAACCCTCTACTGCGCTGCAGAAGACTAAAGGCGAGAGCACTCTTTTTTCCTCCTAGCGGATATGGGGGGTCTGTTCGGGCCCGATCTTCGGGCACTGAAGAAACGATGCCGCTGGCATCTCTGCAGAAAAATCGACCATTGGTCGAGGGTAAGGCGAACGACTGGTCCACCCCCCTTGAAGGCACTCGAAGCCTTACACACCCCCCATTTAGTCCGCGCCGAGTGACAAGGCCAACTGCACTGCGTTGGGCGGAAGGTACTGGCGCTGTGCGCCTAGCTTCTCCGTCTCATCCCACCAGTCTCTGCTGGGCCCATCCGCAATGTTACTGTCGGTGGGCACTCGGAAGAAGGCAGCTCTGCACTGCAGAGACTCTTCGACGTCAACCGCTTGCGAAACTATCGCAGCACCTTCTGCCTTCCTCGTGAAGGCTTTGTGGAGAGAAGTGCGCGCTGCGTCATTGTCAATCCACACAAACAGGTCGCTGCCTGCTATGTGCTTGGCCCATAGCTGCAGGCTAAGCAGGTACGGCAAAAGCTCGCATTCAAAGACAAGCTGCTGTTTCTGAGCCCTGGCAACCCACTGGGCTGCTACTTGCTGGGCTATCTGCAGCCCCCACGTGAAGGCGATGCCTTCTCCGATGAGCACTGCTCCGATGCCGCACTTTGGCACAATGCGCGGGAGCTCCCACTCACAGGCCCCGTCCATGTAGAGGTGGAACTGTCGACGTGCATGAACGGAGACAGTTCGAGGAGGGCCGTGCACTACACGTTGCAGCAAAAATTGCATGGCAAGACGCTGTTGCTCTGCTGCCATGCGAGTGTTGCGGCCCCAGGCTTGCTGCTCGGCGAAGATAAGCCTACCACGCAGACTCTGCGCCTCATGCGGGGCATGCTTCCGCGTAAAAGGGCCTCGCTGAGGACCATGCCCAGCTCGGCTGCGCGAGTGGGCTTGTTCTGTACCGAGACCTGCCCGAGATGCTGCTTGGACAGGTCGACTCTGACACCCAAAACATCGAAAACTTCGCTGAAGTCAACGTTCTTTTTAGGCTCTGTGGCAACTTGCCAGCCTAGCTTCTTGAACATGCTGGACACTGCCAGACTCACAAGTCGCTTGTGCGCGCTGCGCGTGAGCACTGTGAAGTCGTCGAAAAACTCGTCATTACTAATGCGAATTTTTCGCGCCCAATGGCCTTGAGCGCTTCACTGCAGCGCAAGAAGGCATGCACTGCGCACTGGTATCTTCAACGAAATACTCGATCAAAACTCCAGCATTTGCCTGATCATAGGCGGTCCACAATGCGGCCTGATGAGAAGCAGGTATAACAACGTGCAGGGCAACCTCTTGAACTCCTCGACAATCGATGAAGGCGTGTCGCACATATGTGGGGGTAGCTCCGAGGCTT